GGCAAATAATATCTAGACGTCTATTGCCATTGCCTTGTACTGAATATAGTCTATACCACATGGTATTTTCTGGTGGAGGCAAAATGTTTATTTCCTGCTGCTGTGGATAATTTATCTCCCACTTGACTGCTTTCAGTCATCAGTCCTATGCATAGAAAATAATTGCCACAACTGAACATATTAAATATGAACAGGAGCATCCTGTTAGGTTGGAATGTATAGCAATTATGTGTTATGTCTGAAATCCTGTAAAACATATTCATCTAAGTTCTATTGAATTCAATGCAGCTGATTTTTAAGTACTCCTACACAGTATCACTGTATCAAAATTATCCAAAATTATGATATTTTAACAAAACCACTGTGATTTAATTTACATGCTTTCTAGTGATTATAGGCAAAACCTGGGAATGTGTTTTGGATGACAATTTCCACTAAGAAATGTTATCCAAAAAAAGTTACTGTTGCAAGCTCTGAATTTTAAATTGTTAACAACACAGTATAATCCCCCCCCCCCCCCCAAGACAATAACAGGGCATTACTATCAGGGGCTTGTAGCAAGTGTCAGGGAAACAAAAGAAAGCATACTAAGGAGAACCACAGTTGGTTCTACGCTGTAGAATTAGTGCAGTTTGATAGCAGTTCAACAGTCATGGCTTAAGGAGCCCCTGGTGGCACAATGGGTTAAACTCTTGTGCCAGCAGGACTAATGACCGAAAGGTCGGCAGTTCGAATCCGAGGAGCAGGGTGAGCTCCCATTTGTCAGCTCCAGCTTCTCATGCAGGGACATGAGAGAGGCTTCCCACAGGATGGTAAAACATCCTGGCATTTCCTGGGCAACGTCCTTGAAGACAGCCAATTCTCTCACACTAGAAGCAACTTGCAGTTTCTCAAGTTGCTCCTGACATACACACAAAAAGTGCTAGGAACTCGTGAATTGTAATCTCCAAGGTCTTGAACCTTTTCTGCTAAAGGATGCTGATGCCCTATCGAACTGCAAATCCCAAGATTCCATAGCATTGAGCCATGCCAATCAAAGTGATATCAAACAGCATTAGTTCTATAGTGGAGATGCACCCTATCTAAACCCAACATCCTAAAACCCAAATGCCTTTCTTAAAAAAATGAATAGCCTTTGTAAGCAGCAGGAGGACACTGGGAAGGGATGTCAGGTGCCTCTAGGCAGGGAGTCTTCCAGATGCTGGGCTGCAACTCCTATTATCCACATTCTTGCTCAGGTGGCTAAGGCTGACAGCACTTGCAGTATAGCAACATATAAAGGACTATACATTCCTTGCCATAATTGTAGCCAAACACACAGTAGAGTGGGAAGCAGAGGAAGTTGCCAGCTGATGATGTTAACAGCTACTAGGAAAACACAGACTGTAACATATTCCTCACCATGAGCTGTGCTGGCTATTAGTTAAAGCTACTGGGATTTACAGTTCAACAATAACTGACGTCCTATATTATTTCCACCCTTTATTTACAGAGTTCTCTAGAATTTACTCCCAAGTAATAGCAAATCATTATTATTGTCTTTATTTCTATATCACTTTTTTCTCTTAAAGAGACTTAAAGTTGTAGCACTCCTGGAATTGTACAAAAAAGCCCTTCCTTATCATTTAATCAAGTTTATTTAAGAAATAAAAATCCAATTGCTTTCAGTGAGTTAACATTTATATAATTCTGGTTTGGACTGAGCCCAGATGCTCTTCTGCTTAATTTTCTCCTCCTTCTCCTTCCATGTGCACCTTCCTTTGTCGGCATAACAGAGGTATTACAGGATGTTATATGATGGCCATAACTAGCATTTAAAATGAGATTACATAAATGTATGATGGACAGACCTGCTGTTGGCTACATGCCAGTGCAAGATCTAAAATCATCAGCAATATACCTGCGACGACGAGACACCCAGACTCAAAAGGAGATTATGTTCAGCTTTGCCCAGGCCTTTCCCAGAGTCGTATATGCAACTAGATAATATCTGCGTCTGAGCCCAAGGAATTCGTGGAGCTTAAGCACCCCTAAGCACATGATTGAGTGGTTGGTTCGCCTGTTATGGTGCAGTTCTTTTTCTCACCAGAACAGCATGTTTGGTGCCTCTTATAAAACTGGGTGATTTCATTGCTGTATGTACAGACATAGAGATTCCACTCCAATTAGCACTGCTTTTCACAGGGAGGTTACAGGAAGAAACTGACACAAATTGTGCGCACCACAAATGTTTGTTGTGAACTCAAGTTTTCTGAGAGATTTTGGCAGTTTTGAATTCTCTGAGGATTCAAGCCTAAGAATAAATTGCTGCAAATCCTTGATTTAGTTTAGAGAAGGCCACAATTAAGCAAAAAATAAAATAAGTGTTCTAGGATGCATAGCTATAACTTTGGGCATAAAGCTGTTGTTTCACAAAGTTAGTGTTTGTGTACATTTAGTTCTTTGCTTGATTCCCTTGTAAAATACATATCTCCTTACTTATGGTGTGCACTTTATTCTAGTAATTGCCATTGGTTGCTCTTCCTGAATAATAACATTTTGCTTAAGCCTTTAGGTCACACATGGGCAAACATCGGCCCTCCAGATGTTTTGGATGACAACCCCCACAATTCCTAACAGCCTATCAGCTATTAGGAATTGTGGGAGTTGAAGTCCAAAATATCCGGAGGGACAAAGTTTGCCCATGCCTGCTTTAGGTCATGAGGGGCTCCTCAGCTCTTTGGAATTTAGGATAACTTGGAAGTTACTGGGATGTGAGGAGTTCTCTCGTGCAGGGCTGTTGTTATCTGCACTACAGAATTAATTTCTTTTTGTGACAGAAGCAACTTGAGAAACTGCAAGTCTCTTCTGTTGTGAGAGAATTGGCTATCTGCAAGGACGTTGCCCAAGGGAGGCCTAGATGGTTGGTGCTTTACCATTCTGTGGGAGGCTTCTCTCGTATTCCCACATGAGAAGCTAGAGCTTGATAGATGGGAATTTGTCCCGCTCCCCGGATTCAAACCGCCAATGTATCAGTTGACCAGTCCTGCCGGCACAAGGGCTTAACGCATTGTGCCACCAGGGGGTCCTGCATAATCAATAATTAACTGCCATGGCTCCATGCTATGAGATCATAGGAACTGTAGTTTTCCAAGGTCTTTAGCTTTCTCTGCCAAAGAATGCCGGTGCCTCACCAAACTCCAAAATCCCATGTTTTCCTAGCATTGAGCCATGGCAGTTAAAAGTAGTATCAAATTCCATTAATTCTACAGAGCAGATGCACCCTAGGAGGTATTTTGGCTGGATCTACAATGCTGAATAATGCATATTGAACTACATTATATAGCTAGTGTAGATGTATATAATGCAGTTCAAACTAATTATGTACAACAACAATATTTATTACAGTCCATAGACCCATCAGTGAACAAACAAACACTATGCCCCTATGAAGGAAATGAAGTAAAAACAATAGAATACATTTTATTGCTGTGCTGCTGCATTATGTGGGTCTATTCACACTGACTACATAACACAGTTCAAGCTGCATTATTTGGCATTGCACACCCAGTCTGGGTTTGTTAACACACAAGTGCGGAACTGCCATAATTGAAAATAATGGCTTGAAGTACCATGGTTCAATGCCCTGAGTTGTAGATTTGGTGAGGCACCAGCATCAGAGTGGGAAAGCCCTAGTATTTGAAAGAGAATTAGCACAGACCTTGCCAAACTACAGCTCCATCAATTGAGCCATGAAGCTCAAGCACCCATTCTACAGTATAGGTCAGGCATTGACAAACTTGGGCCCTCCCTCCAGGTGTTTTGGACTTAATCTCCCACAATTCCTAACAGCCAGTCGTTAGGAATGGTGAGAGCTGAAATCCAAAATACCTGGAGGGAGGGCCCAAGTTTGCCCATGCCTGAAGTAGGTGCTCCTGCAGTGATCCCGAGATGCACATTCTGGATGCACATTGGGCACACACCGCGTCAGCCTTCAGACGTAAATAGTAATGAATGTATTGGGCAGTGGGTTAAACCACTGAGCTCCTGAACTTGCTGACTGAAAGGTTAGTGTTTTGAATCCAGGAAGTGAGGTGAGTTCCCGCTGTTAGCCCCAGCTTCTGTCAACCTAGCAGTTCAAAAGCATGCAAATATGAGTAGATCAGTACATATCACCTTGGTGGGAAGGTAATGCAGTCATGCCGGCCACATGACCTTGGAGGCGTCTACAGACAATGGCTTAGAAATGGAGATGAGCACCACCCCGTAGAGTCGATCACGACTAGACTTAATGTCGGGGGAAACTTTATATATATACTAGCTTGGGGTAATTTGCCCGGGTTATTTGAGAAAGGCATTGTTTGTGTTTCACGTTTAATCTAGATACAATGTCAGCTGGGTTCAGTGGGTGAGGGTGAACTACAACTCTCATATGCAAGTCCCATCGTCCATGCTCCATCCTCCTCCTAACTGCACCAGGATGTAGAGTGGTTCATGGGGGCTCTGTGTGCCAAATTAGGTTTTGATCAGTCATTGGATGAGGGAGGCAGTGGTCTCAGGAAGTGGGTGAAGATACTGCAAGTCCCATCATCCATGATCTGCACCAGGACGAAGAGTGGGGTCATGGGGGCTCTGTGTGCCAAGTTTGGTCTTTCTCGGTCATTGGATGAGGGTCACAATGGTCTTGGGATGTGAGTGGAGGTACTTCAAGTCCCATCATCCATGGTCCATCCTCCTCCAAACTGCACCAGGATGTAGAGTGGGTCATGTGGGCTCTGTGTGCCAGATTTGGTCTTGATCAGTCTTTGTTGGGGGCCACAGTGGTCTGTGGGAACAGAAGAGTTTGAAAGTACTACAAATCCCATCATCCTTTGTAAGTTATATATCTATTGCGTAAGGCGCCAAAGATGGGGAGGCTCCTTTCCAATTGTTGAATAAGATCTCTGTCTCTCTCCCTGCCGCTCCTCCCTCTTTGCAAGTGTTTTGGAAGCTTTGGAAACCCCACCCACCCGTTGCTTTGGTCCAAGGCACACGTGCCGCGAGGGAGGGGGGAGCTCAGCGCGGTCACAGGCCACGCCCCCTTCTCCTCATTTCCCCCCTCCCTCTCCCCGAATCGCTGCTTACACGTCGCAGGAACGTGCCGAGGCTCCGGGGGCCCCTGGGCGCTGGCGGTGTTACGTAGCCCAGGCAGCCAATGGGCGTCGAGAGCGCGCGAGAGGAGGGGGCGTGGCTTTCCCCTTCTCCGACGGCCAGCAGCAACGCAGCGCAGCGCAGCGCGAGGCTCGGTCGAGGCAAGAGGCTGGTTGCTGGCGCGCGACGAAGAAAGCGAGAGAAGCGCCTCGCGAAGCTATGGCCACGCTCGCTGGGCCCTCGGGCCTCCCTCCTCCTCCTCCCCCGGGAAACGGCTGCTCGGTGCATTGGTTCCGCCGCGGGCTTCGGCTCCACGACAACCCGGCTCTGCAGGCGGCCATCCGCGACGGCGGCCCCGTGCGGTGCATCTATATCCTGGACCCATGGTTTGCCGCCTCTTCCTCGGTGGGCATCAATCGCTGGCGGTGAGTGGATTAATTCGAGCCTGTGCAGCAGGTAAGGGCAAACTTTGGCCTTCCAGGTGCTTTGGAGTCCAACTCCCACCATTCCTAACATCCTCAGGCCCTTTCCTTTTCCCCCTCAGCCGCTTAAGCGTGGGCCTGAGGCTGTTAGGAATGGTGGGAGTTGGACTCCAAAACACCTGGAAGGCCAAAGTTTGCCCTTACCAGTTGGGCCTCCCCAAACTAACAAACCCCATCATTCCATAGCATGGCGCCAGGGCAGTTCAAGTGCTATCAAACTGTGCTAGTTCTACAGTGTAGGCACACCGCCTGTCTGTGGAAAGAGTAGAAGAAAATCCAGACAAGGCATTAAAAAAAAGGGCGTAGTGACTAATCCCCATAATAAACCGCCCTTGTTGACTGGCTCAGTCCTGGCTTCCTTATGGCAGTCTCTTTTGCTACTAGACTTGTAGATTTTGGTTTCCTAACATACCAGTTTGGGAATGACAGCCCAGAGGGTTAACATCAAGGACGTGTGAATGCGCCCTTTACCAAAGAGCTTTTACAATTCACACCTCCTGACAAAGGATGGCCCCCAGTCAGGAAGCAGCCAGGCTTTGGAGCTGCAAGGCCATTCAGTGCTAAAACATGTAATATAATAGATTGTATAAACATATAATATTTATAATATTATAATGTAGTGCAATGTAACACTAATGATAACAATATGATATTATAATTATATATTTATATTACATGTAATATTACTAATCATCTATATAAATAAAAATGTAATGTTAGTTTGTGGGATTAACATAACTCAAAAAACACTGGACGAATTGACACCAAATTTGGAAACAATATACCTATCAGGCCAACGAGTGACCATCACTCAAAAAAAAAAATACTGAAAAACACAGCAGGAGACTTAAAAAGCCAAAACATAAAAATACATTACAATGCATGCGCAAAACCACATATATACACAAATATACACACAGAAAACACATATACACAGACTGGGCCAAAGCAACGCGTGGCAGGGGACAGCTAGTATTACAATATAATGGTGTAGTACAATATAGTAATATTTATTTATTTATTTACTATGTTTGTATACCACCCCTCTCAGCCTTCTGGCAACTCGAGGATATTGTACTATGCTAATAATATAATATATTGTATGTATGTGTATATATATATCTTGTAAGCCGCTCGGAGTCCCCTTTGGGTGAGAAGGGCGGCATATAAATAAATAATCAAGGTGTCCAGTAGCAACATTGACACCTTCCTCCAACAGACAAGAGTTCTTTCTCCCATCCTGGACATTGTTCCACAGATATATAAACCCCACTTGCCTAGTTTCCAGCAAACCTCACAACCTCTGAGGATGCCTGCCATAGGTGTGGGTGAAATGTCAGGAGAGAATCCTTCTGGAACATGTGAATGCAGCGTTTACTAAATTGATGTTGTGTGCCTTTGAGTCAATTATGATTTTTGGGCAAGATTCGTTCAGAGGGCGTTTTGCTGGAAGGCTGTGCCTTGCCCAAGAGTTTCCATGGCCAAGTGCATCTTTCAACCCGGATCTACTGAGCCATAACACTTTGTATCACAGTTGTTTCCCCCTGGATTATAAATATCAATTCCTAATTGGTTCCATCACAAAACCATGGGGAAAGTTTAGTAAACTGTAAACACATTGTTTTTGCAGGACATCCTGTAGCACGTTTTGCTATTGTTTTTCAATAAAGATCTGATAGAGTCTCAACCAATTCAGCACAGGGTTGCTGTGAGTTTTCTGGGCTGTACGGCCATCTTCCATAAGCATTCTCTCCTGACGTTTCACCCACATCTATGGCAGGTATCCTCAGAGGTTGTGAGGTCTGTTGGAAACTAGGCAAGAGTACCCCTCAACCTCTGAGGATGCCTGCCATAGATGTGGGAGAAAAGTCAGGAGAGAATGCTTCCAGAACATGGCCATACAGCCTGGAAAACTCACAGCAACTCAGTTATTCCGGCCATGAAAGGCTACGACAACACAATTCTGCATAGTTTGTGACAGCCACAAAGTGTGGCATAATTAAACAGGAGTATGTGAGCAAAATGGAGCAGAAGCCACAGGCAAACTATATGAAACATGTGAAGAGATCCGCACCTGCTTCATGTATCATTTCTGGCAAGTTAGTGACACATGATGTCACTAATGTCCCTGTCAAATAGAAGGTAGTGGTGTTATGTTCACTTCAGAGGTTTGCACTCCATTCTGGCCTTTCAGTGGTCCTCAACCTGTGAGTCCCCAGGTGTTTTGGCCTACAACTCCCAACAATCCCAGCCAGTTTACCAGCTGTTGGGATTTCTGGAAGTAGTTGAAGGCCAAAACATCTGGGGACCCAGGGGTTGAGAATCACTACAGTCTATTCCCTTTTCCACTGTTAACTTGCTCCTGCTTGTTTGCTTGCCTTTGTGTCTTTTGAAACATGTTTAAACAACAATGAAGCCATAGTATATCATAATGATAAGTAGCATGAAGACAAATTAAAATAACTTCAGTTGCAGGAGAAATCAAGCATTACCATTCCACTCTTGACTTTTTATATTACCTGCTGACATGGGATGTTTTTTATAGTATCCTCACCTTTAAAATACTGTTTATGATAGGATTATCGTCCACAAACTCTGGCCCTAAATCAGTGTTATACAATCTAGTTAAGTGTACTTTTCCCAGGAATTAAGTCTAAAGCATGTGTGGGCAAACTTCGCCCCTCCAGATGTTTTGGACTTCAACTCCCACAATTCGCTGTTAGGAATTGTGGAAGTTGAAGTCCAAAACACCTGGAGGGCCCAAGTTTGCCCATGCCTGGTCTAAAGAGATTCACTGTGTCGCAGCTGCATGTAAACCTAAATAAGATTTATGCTGCAATCCTATGTTAGTATAGTTCTGAAAGTGATTTGTGATTTTATGTTGCTCTTCTCGACGTCCTAAACACAAAACACAACTTTAATGTTTATTAGTTCACAAATTTTGTAACCTATGTAAAAGATATTTGCAGAAGATCTGAAAAATATGACACTTTATGCAGTAGTTATAGAAGGGAATGATTGTTGCTGTCATTTGGTTTAGCTACTGGGATGACGCTATTTGTTGTGCATCTTCTCTAATGAAAGAGATTCTTGTTCTACTTGCTCTACTACAGTACTGCTATATACTTAGCTAGGTGTTAGAATCCTAAGTATAGAAGCTGGGAAATCCCTTTTATAACATCCTCGGTTCAAGCCCTTGCTTGTGAGGTCAGGATTATTCAGCATTTAAGCCACAGGAGTACCCTGTGTGGTTAAAATTAGAAATATAAGAACTAAATCGGGATGTGGCAATAGCAGTTGTGGAAGCAGCATTGCTAAACAGGTGCATAACAATTTTTTCACACCGTATCAAAGGCGGCATAAATACAACACTGATCCAGGCAGTACTCTCTCTCGGGGTCTGGCTTTGCTTCCAAATATATGTGGGGCATATTGTTAATTTTCACCTTCCCAAGATTATTATTATTATTTTACCACAACACTGTTGCATTTGCAAGAATCAAGTTGTCACGTAGGCAGCTGCCTTTTGCTTTATGTAATAACTGACAATAGCACTGTAAGCAGAGCGAAAGGAATACAGCGTGGTATCTTAGCAGTGTAGGGTGCTTATCTTATCGCTTTTATTACATGAATTAAGATAGGATGCTGCCCTGCTGAAATCTCTCCGTCTTTCAGTCTTTTTTTGCACGAACACATTCCTATCCTGTTCTGGGGCATATTTTCTGACAGTTTTAGGTGAACTAAAAGAACCCTGAATACTAGGACTTTTCCACTCTGATGCAGCAGTGAAGGAATGTGCTGTGTTGATTGGCCAACTGCAATTACAGCTCATACAGAGTTTGGACATGTATTCTAACAAGCAGTCCTATGCTGATACATTACATGTCAAAAAACCATAAAACTGTGTCTAATTATATTATCTGATAACCTTTACAAGTGATGTGTGATGGTTATGTACCAAAGCGACTATTTATATAAATGCTCACCTTTCATTTTTGACATGAGTAAGGATATATTACTTTGGCCATGTACCTGAATGTAAAATTTAACATAAAAGATGTCTCTTGGGTGCCTAAAAGGCAAAGAAAAATTGAGTGGGAAGATAGTGTTGGAGGAAATAAATCTTGTTAAGTGCATCAGAAAGAATGGCATGTCCCTTTCTGAACCGGATTCAGAAGATGGGAACAGGATAAATCTTTCCTGTTAACTGAAATATGTCAAGATACATTTTAAATACCCTAATTTATATGCTGCTGTCTACTTGCTGATGGGCCACTCATATCAACAGAATCTGGAAGGCTGAAGGAGTGAAAAGAAGGGAAGACATTTCTGTCAAGCTGCAGGCACAGGGTATTGGATTTTTGTTATGAGTTTTTAAAAATCCATATCCAGATGAGTATGTTAGTTGCACAATCTTGAGCCTTACGTCATTAGCTCTGTTTATTTTGTTACTGTGTAAGGCAGGAAGATGTAACAGAAGGCTTATGTGACTGCTACAGGAATAAGACTTAAGATTCCTTCCCATTTTCATCTGTGTCCATGGAGAGGGTTATGTACAGTTCCCTCTGATGTGTGAACTTGAGAAACGGATGTCTTTACATAATATTTAAAGGGATCAGTGAGGATTTGCGAATCTTGCTATTTATTATTATATATTTTTACAAAGTAAGATGCTATCTTTTCTGTTGCGTCTGAACCAGGCCTTCCTAAATGTTTGCTTTCTGATTCTAGTGGTTTCTGCATGTTGCTAATCTGGACATTTAGTAGAAAGTTAACTGTGCAACCTTTTTGTTTTTATAAAGGATTGGGGAATAAATAAACATTTACAGTCTAATCATGATGTGACTGTCCATTTTAATTCCATCTTAATTCTCTGGCTTTAAAGGGCAACATACAGAGGAGAGAAAACTCAGATAGGCAGATTAGTGGATAGTTAGCCATCTCTGAGATTATTATATTTTTTATTGTGTTTGGTTATATAGCTCCTTTTACACACAATTGGGAATCACGTAGTGGCCTACTGTTTAAAACAAAAAGAAATAGTTTTAATAACATACAACAGTTTTGAATTAGAACATTATATTTTAAACTATTTACAGTACTAAAGCAATTAAAACATTTTTAAAAAGCAATTATATATAGTTTAGATTAAAACAATGTAGCACCCTCTTTAAAAAAAACTTCTGTTTAAAAGTCTGTTAGAAAAATAAGATGTTTGCTTGCCAATGGAAGGGCAGGAAGAAGAATGCCATTCTGATCTTCCTGGGAAGAGACTTCCAAAATCCAGGAGCAGCTACTGAGACCATCTGCACTGCCATTATAATGCAGATCAGTTTTCAAGCCATGGATGGTGGAATCCACAGATACAGAAGGCCAACTGCATGTATTATGGAAAACATTTTTTTTAATTACAAAATATAACAAATATAAAAGTAAAAAAGAATTATGAGATCTAATACTCTGAAAGCATACACAATATTGTATAAATCTAGCCAGGTGCTGGTAGACAGATATTTCCATAACAAATTAATGTCTTGGCTGTTTTCACTTCTTCTGCTCTCTGCAAATTCTCCAAAGAAGGCTACATTGGTGGGCGTACATTCAAAGTCCTTTAGTTTATATAAGAGAAAGGGAAACCTAAGTTTTCATAAATAGAGATCACACTTTGATATTTTGCGGTGTTTCTTCAAGTTATATATATATGGACCTTTCACCTGTGCTTATTATAGATTTTGATTACATTTTGTTTCTTCCTCCTAGGTTTTTGCTCCAGTCCTTGGAAGATTTGGACAACAGTTTGAGAAAACTCGGTTCCCGCTTATTTGTGGTGCGAGGCCAGCCAACTGATGTTTTTCCAAGGCTCTTTAAAGTAAGATTTAAATTATGTGAAAATCTTTTTTGTAGAGAATTTGATCTTTCACATCTAATTGCATTGCTGCCGATTTTAACATCTCGATCCAAGGATAATAAAACTTCAGAGATCACTGTAAGTTGAGGTTGCAATTCTGGTTATCATTGATTGCATTCAACAGGGATTTCTGTATAGCATATTGTTTTTGTAACATTACCTAAGTGGGAATGATAGGATGTAAATAATATTTTTCTGTCTGAAAATTACAATGGTTTAAGTGATTAAATTTGCAAGCTGGATTAGGAAATAAGGGAAGAATCAGTAGAAAATATATGTAAATTGATTCAGAACAGCCCTTTGCCTTCGTTAATTTGCAGGATGTTGATTTGAACCAACTCACCATACATGCTGAGAGTTTTTATTTCTCTTGTTTGACATCTGCCTTAGGTCTCTTCTACACTGCTATATAATCTAGATCATCAAAGCAGATAATCCACATTGTCTCCTTTGGACTGGATTATATGAGTCTACACTGCCATATAATCTAGTTCAAAGCAGATAATCTGGATTTTATATGGCAATGTAGAAGGGGCCATAGTTTCTTGGAATGCATCTGTACTGCAGAATTCATTTACTTTGGCACCACTTTGACTGCCATGGCTCGGTACAATGGATTCCTGGGTGTTGTAGCTTCAGAAGATATTTAGCTTCTTTTTTTTTTGCCACTCTACATCTCCCAGGATTCCATAGCATTGAGCCATGGCAGTTAAAGTGACGTCAAACTGTTTAATTCTGCCATGTAAGTGCACCTTAAGTCAAGGGACTACTGGACCTTTCAGGAAAAGCCAAAGGAGACAAATAGTAGTTTACCCCCTGTATGACCAAGGGCAAGATGGATGGATGGTATCCTTGAAGTGACTGACTTTACTCTGAAGGAACTGGGGATGGTGACGGCTGACAGGGAGCTCTGGCGTGGGCTCGTCCATGAGGTCACGAAGAATCGGAAGTGACTGAATGAATAAACAACAACAAAGTAAACATTTTGGCTGAGCTGAAATGTGGATTGATTAAGGACAGTGTTTGAAACAGTGGTTCCCAACCTTTTTTTGACCAGGGTTAACTTGACCAGGGACCACTTTGATCAGGGGCCACTCTCCAATATGAGTACCAAAAGGGTTACAAATCAGTTTTTGGTCAACTTTTATTTGGGGTGCTGATTCAGAAAATTGCATTGGATAGACCACATCAGCTCTAGTTTCTGATACAGAACATATGCCATCCAGTAGTCGCCATCTGCTTGCCCACAGAAAACCATATTTAGTAAGCCTTGGCACTATTAAGAGTGTTTTGTGAGACCCATCACTCTTGTTGCAACAGTGTAGTAACAGTGAGTCTGTGGACCATATTTTAGTACTTGCGGACCACTGGTGGTCCATGGAGCATAGGTTGGGAAAAGAGCAACCAGAATCTACATTATTTTAATGGTACTTTTACAATGTAAATAGTACCACAGACAAAAGAATAACCAAGGCTGGGATCCAGTAGTAGTGTACTGCTCATATAATGATGTGCTATATCAGTAGCATTACTGCTTGACAAGGAAAAAGGCATCTTTCTCCTTTGCAAATGCCTACTTTGCAAATGCCTAGCTTTTGGAGAAGTCCTTAGAGAAAAAGCATCACAGAAGGAGAAGCTTTAATAATCATCTGTGAATTGTGACAAGCAGTTGTCCAAGTCATCTCGTCCATAGCACCTTAGTTTCACAGATAAACCTTCTTCCAAAAGACGCCATGAATAAGTAGCTTGGAACTGGCATCCCTCATTTCCCATTGCTGCCATCTTTTCTTTTTTCACCTGGCATTGGAATTACTATGCCAATGAAGGTATGGAACAAGATTCAGGACCCAAGTAGTAAATACAGAATCATAAGGCATACAGCAGAATGAGAGTAAAGCCCATGAGATTAAAGATATGCCTGAAGACAAACTTCCGTCCCGCAGAAACCAGCAGTACACCAGGCATATTTCATTAGCTTCTTGCCGTCTCCATCTAAATCGGAAATCTAGTTCTTTCTCTTGTAAAATGTCAGCTAAAAGGCACTGCTCCATAGGCTCTGTGACTCACATAAGGATCAGTACCAGTGATTCATAGATTGCCATGCAAAAGGTCACATTTAGAGGTAGTCTAGCTGTTCTTATTTGCAGAGGCTGCATTGCTGACTGTAAAAGTCTGACTTAGAGATATGAAAAATTAAGTCTAACTGAAGGCTCCATTCACTAAGAATGACAATTATTCCATAGAGGACGCAGTATTACTAGCATGCAAGATTTCTTTAGAGATACTATCCATACTAGCTAGTCATCTCTTAGCATTTCACCTGGTTGGTCCTTGTGAAACTCTTCTTCAAGCCTCATGTGCACTACCATATAATGCAGTTTCATAAACTACATTATATGACAGTGTAGATTCATATAATACATGCATTATGAAACTGCACTGTATGACAGTGTAGATAGGGCCCCAGTTAATAACAGGAATATCAGCTTTTTAGTCTGGTATTGCATGGTCCACATTTTTGGGGGGATTTTTCAGCATCCCTCTGTTACTATGCATTTCCTTTCCAAAAATAGTTTTCTGTAGTGTTTTAATTTGACTGTACCTTAATGTTGGTTGTAGGATTTAGGCAATGAGTGCCTCATCCACTTAGTTGTGTCACATTTTGAAAAGGTTTATGTGATGCTTGCTTGTGGCAACCAATTTCATCTCATACATGCATTTTGTCAGAGGAAACAAGCCATGCTTTTTGCAGCGTGAAATGAGGCGAGAAGCTGAAAAAGAGACTGAATTTCCTTGAATTCTTTTCTTAGCCCTGATGGTTTTTTTACGATGTTAGTCATGCAGGGTTTGATGTAATTTTGACATATCTGATAATATAATTTACATGATTAAAATAGAGTGTTCATAGATGGAGTTTGGTTTACAGTGGGTTCTCTGTATTCATGGGTTCTGTATCCATGCATTCAACTACTCACTACTCAAAAATTCCAAAAAAGCAAATCTTGCTTTTTTCATGTACCAAATACTCTGCTCATTTGTAGGCATGCACTGCTGTAACCTTGCACCGTTTCAAAAGTCCTCAAGCTCCCTGGTACACATTTAAGCTGTTTGCCATTTTACGTAAGGGCATCATTTGACTACGCTATTGTATATACTGAGACTTCAGAGTGTCTCTGAATTTCAGTATCTTCAAGAGGTTCTGGGACGAAACTCCAGTGGTGTGTTTCGGTGAGCCTGTACCTGTTGGGTTAAGGTTAATAGTTTGGGTGAGCTGAATGGAAGCATACTTGAGTGCTTATTAATATTCTGATGTTCTACTGTGCGTGACCCCGTGATCTAAGCAGGGTGGAGCATCTCCTGGAAGTGAGTCAAACTTGATTGGAGGAGGATCTAGTTCTCTGAATAGCTGCATTCCCAGTCCCAGAAGCTTAGCAAACAGGAGCTTGACTAATATGAAAGACCAACAGAATGTATGTTTAACCAGGGAATTTTGAGGAGGAGGCCCAGAGTTCTGTTTCAGTACCTACTGAATATAGGTATTGAGGAAGTGTTTTCTGGGATGAACACTAACATAACACACTCCTTCACCATCCATATCATCATCATTATATTGTTATCCTGCTTTATCTCCCCAAAGAGGACTCAAAGCGGCTTGACATAAAAGCCTTAGTATACTATACACAAATATGCAAATATTAAAACAGAACTAAACACAAACAGAAGTTTTAAAATCACAGTTAAAATCCGTCAAAACATATTCAAAATTAAAAATCACAGCATTCCTGACTCTTAAACACCTTCAGCTTTAAAAGCCTGCCTGAATGAAAAGGTTTTAGTCTGCTGGCGGAAGGACAGCAGGGAGGTGGCCATTCTGGCTTCCCTGGGCAGGGAGTTCCAGAGTCGAGGTGCAGCCACTGAGAAAGTCTACTCTTTCATTCCCACCAACCAGGCTTGAGATGGAGATGGAACCTAGAGAAGGGTGTCTCCTAAAGCTCTCAGGGCCCGGGCAGGTTCGTATGAGGGGATGCAGTCAGCCAAATAGCCTGGAATTGAACCATCTAGGGCAGGGGTCCTCAAACTAAGGCCCGAGGGCCGGATATGGCCCTCCAAGGTCATTTACCTGGCCCTCACTCAGGGTCAACCTAAGTCTTGAAAGCACATAACAACAAGAATCCTATCTCATCGGCCAAAAGCAGGCCCACACTTCCCATTGAAATACTATTAAGTTTATATTTGTTTATATTCTTCTTCATTTAAATTATTGTATCATTTTAAAGTGGTTTTTGTACTACAAATAAGATATGTGCAGTGTGAATAGGGATTCATTCATTTTTTTTCCAAATTATAATCCTGCCCTCCAACAGTTTGAGGGACTGTGACCTGGCTCTCTGTCTAAAAAGTTTGAAGACCCCTGATCTAGGGCTTTAAAAGTCATAACCAGCTCTTTGAATTGTGCCTGGAAACAGACTGGCAGCCTGTAGAGGTGTTGCAACAGGGGAGTTGTCTGCTCCCTGTAGCCAGCCCCAGTTAGCAACCTGGCTGCAGATCTTTCGACCAGCTGACATTTCCAAGCCATCTTCAGAGGCAGCCCCACATAGAGCATGTTACAGTATGGCCTGTGTATCTACTCTTCACTGTATTAGAGAACATGACATATTCTTGGATGAGGAATGCACAGGGAATGTTTGTGAGGTGAGTTCATTTCCCAAACAGGAGTAAGGCAGTTGGTGGGATGTGAAATGTAGAAGTAGAGGGATCAGGAATCATTCTGTGGGATTGGAGCCCCAGAATCTATTCAAAGCATTCTCCCTTATCAGTGATGATGAGGAACAGCAACAAGATCAGTTCTCAGATAACTGATCTTGTTGCTCAGAAAACATGCAGGAAGATCAGTTCTCAGAGAATATCAGTTCTCAGAGAACATGCAGGAAGATTCAGCACATTAAATGGCACCCAGAGGAGACATATTAGTAAGGAACGCCTTGGAGAAAATAACAGATTCAGTGTTTTGCAGGAGCTACAGGATGTCTTGCAAAGTATATTTCACTGGGACAAAAATCCATTATGTAATAGAGAAGCAGACAAGAGTTACCAAGCCCTTTAACTCTTACCTCTTTTGTTTGGTCCACATGGGAAGCAATCGCCTTGCAAATCATGAGTAGATATTTGGAAGGCCTTGATTCACAGATTGTCATTTGTCTCTTCTCGCAGTTGAAGGACGTTGCCCAGAATGGGAGAGAAGAATAGTGAGAACAATTAGCACCATAGATGGTGCCACCAGGAAATATATATTTAACTAGCTGTGCCCTGCCACGCGTTGCTGTGGCCAACCTTCCCTCCCTCTTTCTCTCCTTCTTTCTCTCTTTCCTTCCTTTCTTCTTTTTCTTTCCCTATGTCTCATCTTTCTTCCATCTCTACCTGTTTCTTTCCTCCCTGCTTCTCTCCTTTCTTCCTTCCCTTTTTCCCTCCTCTCATTACTTCTTGACTGTCCCTTCCATTTAATAAGGAAATGAAGAATGGGAAAGAAGGAGGAAAGGAAGGAGGGACAGGAAGGAAGGAAAAAAGGAGGGGGAAAGAAGGGAAGGAAGGGGGAAAAAGGAGGGACATGAAGGGAGGGAGGAGAAGGAAGGTGGAAGGAAGGAGGGGGATGAAGAAAGGAGGGAGGGAAGGAAATAAGGGTGGAAGGAAATGAAAGGGAAAGAAGGAGGAAAGGGAGGGAGGAAAAGAAGGAAATGAAGAAGGAAGGAGGGACAGGAAGGAAGGAAAAAGCGAGGGAGGGAAAGAAGGGAAGGAAGGGAAAAAGGAGGGACAGGAAGGGAGGGAGGAAGGAGGGAAAGAAAGGAGGGGGGTGAAGAAAGGAGGGAGGGAAGGAAATGAAGGGGAAGGAAATGAAGAAAGGGAAAGGAGGGAAGAAAAGAAGGAAAGGAAGAAGGAAGGAGGGACAGGAAGGAAGGAAAAAGGGAGGGAGGGAAAGAAGGGAAGGAAGGAAAAGAAAGAAGGAGGGACAGGAAGGGAGGGAGGAAGGAGAAAGGAGGGAGGGAAGAAAGAAGGAAGGAAGGAGAAGGAAAGGAGAAAAGAAAGAAGAAGAAGGGAGAAAGAAGGGAAGGGAGGGAGAGAAGGAAGGTCCTTCATTCAAGCACCGTGGACCTTCCTCCTCCCCCTCCCCCCTCCCCTTCTTCCTTGCGTGGATGCTCCGTTGCTGCTGCCATTGCTGCTGCTTTCCCAACAGGTAGTGAGGGAGCCTGTGTGTGTGTGTGCCGCGCGGGGGTGGGGGGTGAGGGGTGTGTGTGTGTGTGCCGGAAGGAAGGGGGCATGTCTTACTGGCGTGAATGTGTGTGTGTGTGGCGGAAGGTGTGTGTGGCGGAAGGTGTGTGTGGGCGGCGGGGGGAGGAGTGAAGGAGCGTTGTGTGTGTGTGTGTGTGTGTGTTTGCGACGGGGAGGAGTGAGTCAGGGAGGGAAGGGGTGGGGGGAAAGGAAGGGGGCGTGTCTTACCGGCGTGAGTGTGCTTGGGCCCGCCGCGGCGAAGGGAGGGGGCATGTCTTACTGGCGGAGGGTGGGAGGAGGGAAAGAGTGAGACAGGGAGGGAAGGGGTGGGGGGAAGGGAGGGAGGGAGGGGGCGTGTCTTACCGGCGTGAGTGTGTGTGTGTGGCGGCGTGAGCAGGGTAAGATGAAGGAGGGTGAGTTGCGATGGTTTTGACAGGGCGGGAAGCGGCGCGGCGTGAGGATGGGGGCGTGGCTTGCGCGGAGGGAACATTGGCCGCCAGGCCATGTGCGCGTGCCAGGGAACTTGCGGCTGGGTGCCAATGCGCATGCTCAGTTGTTTTGCCGTTTTGTGAGTGTGGTGTTGTGTTGTTTTTGATTTTGATTGGGTTTGTTTGTACCTAGTGGGTTGAGGTATGTGCATGGGAATTTTGGTTAATTTCTGTTGGGGGGTTTTTGAGTTTTGCTTCCTCATACGACGCCACTTCGGATTTTATATATATAGATTTCTTGAACTATGAAGTATGGCTTTGTGGAGATAGCAAGTGATAGCTTCCACTTCTCAGTATTTGACAGGAACATTTTGGTGAAGGCTCTTACAATGCAAGATGGAAATGAGTCTGTCCTAAATCATCCGTTTACTTTAGTACTGAATGAGAAGCTGAGTTATATAATTGGTTAGCTAAGGGAGAGATAAAAGAAGATGCATTTGTGATAACTTTGCAACTATTTCTTCTTTATTTTATAGATTTTAATTCCATGCAGGGTCAACTGGGAACAGTAATTAGAATCCTAGCAAAACAAGTTTTGAAACAATGTGAATCAACATAGATTCTCCTCATAAGAAACATTTTCTTTGCAATTAAGACAAACAGTTGAACACTGGATTGTTGTAGGTTTTTCGGGCTATATGGCCATGTTCTAAAAGCATTCTCTCCTGATGGAGAGAATGCTCTATGGCAAGTATCCTATGGCAAGCGAGGTTGAACAGTTCCTTGCAATTAAGTAAACTGCATGCAGTAAACTGAGGATGGAATGGGAATAGCCATTATGAATTGTATAGAGATTGAGCATCTCTTATCCAGAAATTCTCCAAAATTATCCACATTCATGACAGATAATGACCCCTTTTCTTTGTGATGGTTCAATGTACACACACTTTGTTTCATGCTCAACATTATTAAAAATACTGTGCATAAAGATACCTTCAAACTATCTGTATAAGGTGTATAGTTGGAAAGGACACATTCACTCAGGTTAGAGGTGCAGAACTCTTGCAAGGGTGTAAAAAACAAATTAGAAAACACTATTAATCGGAAAAACCACTTCTCTAAGAATTGCTAGGTCCTCCAGTATGACTCTACGGTCAAGTTCTGCTGGAAGCTGACAATAAGATCATGCTGAGTAGCTAGAAATGCCTAGAGAAGTGTACCATCTAGGAATCCATTTTTATTCCAGTGCAACTCTGTAATGGAAGTTGCTGTAGAGTTATTCTGGAAGATCTTGAGATTCCTAGATAAAACATATTAATAAAATCCAAAAAAGCAAAACCTGTAAATGTAGAGGGCCAACTATATTTGAAACATAAATGAATTTTGTGTTTAGTCTTGTGTCCCATCTCCAAGATATCTAATTTTATATATATATATATATATATATATATATATATATATATATACATACACACACACACACACACACATACATACATATATATATACACACACACACACAAATATTGCCAAAACCCACCCAAAATACTACACATTTTGGATAAGGGATACTCAAACTGGATTGTATCCTGTTATGTGATTTTGTGAATAAAAATCCTTATTTCGAAATGTTTTTTAAGTGAATGCAAGAGTAGCTATGCAGGTTGGTAGGATGCTTGAATATATGTTAATGCTAATTGTTTACAAACAAGATACCCTCCATATACTGTTCCTTTTTTCTTCTTCGTTGCTTGGTGTACTTTCAAGTATTTCCCAGAGGTTTTAAAAATGATGATCAGAATGGTGCCTTCATGTTTGTACTTAGCAATAGCTGATATTGGCATTATGTGGTTTTTTTGCAGGAATGGAGAGTGACCCGCCTCACTTTTGAGTACGACTCGGAACCCTTTGGAAAAGAGAGAGATGCAGCTATAGTGAAGTTAGCTAAAGAAGCTGGAGTAGAAGTGATAACGGAGAATTCCCATACTCTTTATGACCTTGATAGGTAAGTTTCAGATCTGCTTATACAGACAAAGTATTAGTCTGCCTAAGAAAACCATACATAATTTGAAATATCAGAATATTTGGAAGTTGTTGCTTCTTTAATGGACCAAAATTGCAGTCCTTCTACTGTGATGCCATGGGTACAGAAGTGTCAAGTTTGTTATTTATTTACCTCATGTTTGGATCTCATAACTGCTATAGAAAAGAGAGACTTTGAGCTTTTCTGGGCTCATTCAGCAATAGCATGATTTGTTTAGTTTCTGAACACAGCCATTCTGATGATGTTTTTTAACTCTTTGGTACTGGGCTTTTTCACAGATAGTGTTAGTTTGCTATTAATTTCACTTGGTCAGAATTCTAGGTCAGATTTTTTTTAACTTTCTGTATGTATATGACTTGCAGTGCAATTAATAAGTTTCAAATAAAACCTTATTTGCTATGCAGCGCATGGATTTCATGAAAGCAGCTTTTCTCTTTGAAGCCAACTGTTAGAAGTCGAGTCTTCTTTTAGTATTTCGTGCCTTGAATTGTGTGCTGAGAAGTAACTTGGCAGCTAAACACCAATCGTATGGAGAGCTTGGGTGTGGTTCACATCCATTTTCTTCTGTGTGGCCTCACAGAGTTTTAAGATTCAGAGGTCTCAGACCTGCTTCTTAGTATATCACTGTTCAGAGGAGCTTCATTGCTCTAAAGCAGAGATGGGATAGTTTTCTAGGAGACAGTTTTCTACTCCTGGTACTCAGGGCAGGTCTTACTAACCCCCAGATTTATGTGTAGAGAGAGACTTAAAGGTCAGACTTCTAACTCCAGTTTCAGTTGGAAGGGAATGAAATAAGGTGCAGGAAAGCACTGCTATTTCTTTTGTGGGGAAAATTGCTGCTCCTGGTTTCCAGAAATTACAGATGATAATTTTTCCATCAGGATGTGTATATGCAAAAATTGTATTTTATTCACTCTTTTCCTTTTGTGTGTACTGTATATATTTAAACTCATGAATTTTGGGCCATTCAAAAGGTGTCCTGGGCTAATATGACAACCTGTTTTTATTCTCCCATGCTTTTTAACTTTTGCCAATGTTAATTGCTCGGATAACATAGGAAAACCTCCAGTAATTATTGAAGATATGCGATCTTCACCAGTTTTGCAGAAGCTTCGTGGAATGTATGCACGAGAGCTGTAAACAAGAACTCCTTTGTTCTGTTTAAATAGTGTTCTGTTCTTGCTGGCAACAAATGGCCTTTTAGGACAGACTGTTGTTTGCAGGATTTTCTTTTCTTCCTCCTGAATTGCAAAGGGTTTGTTTGCATGCTTGGAAAGTTGGGAAAAGTTATGTTGACAAAAGGGTCTCCTTTCTACATACTGAAAGGGGACATGATAGCCATGTTAAGGAGTCTCCGGTAGCTCAATGGGTTAAACCCTTGTGCCGGCAGGACTACTGACCGAAAAGTCAGTGGTTCAAATCCAGGGAGCGGGGTGAACTCCCATCTGTCAGCTCCAGCTTCTCATGCTAGGACATAAGAGAAGCCTCCCACAGGATGGTAAAACATTCGGGCGTCCCCTGGGCAACATATTTGTAGATGGCCAGTTCTCTCACACCAGAAGTGACCTGCAGTTTCTCAAATTATTACTGACACAGAAAAAATAGCCATGTTTAGCTATTAGAAGAATGTCACATTGAGGCGGTAGTAAGCTTGTTTTCTGCTGCTCTGGAGACTAGGTACAGACCAATAGATTCAAATTACAGGAAAAGAGATTCCAACTAAATGTTACGAGGAACTTCCTTGTTGTAAGAGCTGTTCAGTGGTAGAATATGCTGCCTCCCATGGTGGTGGAGTGTCCTTCTCTGGAGGGTCTTAAACAGAGGCTGGATGGCCACCTATCGGGGATGCATTAATTGTGTTTTCCTGCATGGCAGGGGATTGGACTAGATGGCCCTTGGGATCTCTTTCAGCTCTAGGATTGTATGATTGAAAACACATTTATCTCTCATCTCTGAAGTACTTTACTCTAAACTTCCTATTTTTAAAGGAATACTACATTTTTTTAAAAAAACACTGCTATTCTTGTCTCATTTGTGCTAGCAAAACCCATGATACAGAGACCATTCCTGCCCCTGTCCTTAGTGGAGCTTCAAAAGTTTGCATGATATACTTTGTGCATTTTTGGTTGGCCCAGTAAAGGTATTACTTTTTTGTGAATTTGGGATGGTATTGTATAGAGCAGGGGTCCTCAAACTTTTTAAACAAAGGGCCAGGTCACAGTCCCTCAAACTGTTGGAGGGCCAGATTATAATTTGAAAAAAAACACGAATGAGTACTGCACATATCTTATTTGTAGTGGCAAAACACTTAAAAACAATACAATAATTAAAACGAAGAATAATTTTAACAAATATAAACTTACTAGTATTTCAATGGGAAGTGTGGGCCTGCCTTTGGCTGATGAGATAGGATTATTGTTGTTGTCGTGTGCTTTCAAGTCATTTCAGACTTAGGTTGACCCTGAGCGAGGGCCGGGTAAATGACCTTGGAGGGCCGTATCCGCCCCCCGGGCCTTAGTTTGAGGACCCCTGGTATAGAGCAATAGATAATGCTTGCCCAAGGTCTCCTGTTGAGCATAGCTGGATAGCAGGATTCATCTTGTATATAGGCCCTTCCTATTTGCTAGGGTTTAGCGCTAGGACTCCACATGGATACCAAAGTGTGTGGATGCTCAAGTCCCACTGTATACAATTGCATAGTAAAGTGTTGTCCCTTATATAAAGCAGCAAAATCAAAAGTTTGCTTTTTGCAATGTGGGAGGGGAGTATTTTCAAGCTGTGAATGGTTGAATACATGGGTTCACAATCAGTAATACAGGGGATCGACTGTGTATCTAAGACTGAAAGCTCATTCACACTATACAATTGTAGTGCTGTTTTTCCAATTCAACAGCCATGGCAACATCCTGTGGAATTTTGTGATTTGCAGTTTGGGGAAGGATTTTATAATTCTCTGCCAGAGAGTTCTAGTACGTCACCAGACTACAAATCCAAGTCTTCCACAGGATATTTTCATACCAGTTGAAGTGGAACATAGCATTGTATTTGGGCCCCTCCTGTGGTCCTTCGATAGCTAAGCAATGTGCCTTCCTGTATATGACCCAGACAGTTTCAGACCATTCTAAACTGCATGGTTCCTGTGGAGCATTGCAGGGAGAGGCAGGAGGCTCCTTTTCAATGCCTTTCTTAGTACTGGTGTTTTAGGCTGGTGCTTAAATTTGAAGTGGCGGAAGCACTGCTTGGCAAAGAACCACCCCATTTCGTAGCTGCTGTGCCTTCTTGGGAAACTAGCTCACAGAGCCATGACACGTGAGCTTCTCTTGCCAGAGTCGTGGTGGCGTGGAGCTCCTCCCCTTTACACGTGCAGCCTGTAGGGGAAGGACAGGCACATGGCTTTTGCTGGAACTGAGAGCCCATCCCTTTTGCATAAGCTGTTCACTGGGTGAACGTGGTTGCTGGCTTCTATAACTGTTAGCTCACAAGCTGAGCAGGAAGCTGATTTGGTTGCTTCAGCTTTACATAAGCTACTAACTTGGCTCTGTCTGCCTCTTGTTAACTCTTCCCCTTCTGCCATCAGGGGTTTGTCTTGTCTTGTTGTGTTCTGAAGGCTCTGCTTCAGCAGGGAAAAAGGTCCAAGGTTTCAAGGTCTTATGCAAAGGACTTCCTTTCAAACTATGCAAGGAATAAAAGAAATGCAAAATTGCTTGCTTTTTAAAATGGTTGGCACCTGGATTTAAGACTGTCCAGAATGCCTAAATCACAATTCTTTGTGTAATATCCAGAAACCATTCTGGTTTCCTACAAAGTGCAAGGCACTGTGTTTAACACTGTGCAGGGTCACCTAAGATTCCACCTTTCATTATACTATTTTCCCAATTGTCACTCAGGACACAATTTATGCCGATTCCTTAACCATGCAGGAAACCATTTTAGTGATGCAACTCCCCACATTGCTTGGGCATTCTAACCACACCTGCAACTTCTCATTTTCACGCACTACTGCTGCTATGGTTAAAACTGCCTGAACACTTGAGGAATGCTCTTGGCAACAGCTGAGCTATTCGCTTACGATATCATGTTTCTCAGCCTGAGTGAGAGCTAAAGAGTTGTCAGGTTGAGGGCTGGAACACAGTTCCCATGGCAGCAAAACTGCACTGCCTCCACAGAAATACGAATTCACAGTTTCACTTACTTATGCTCCAAAAAACATCCTTCCCAGAGTGTTTGTAGGCCCTCTCTAGGTCCTCCAATGTAATTCTATAACATGCCTCCAGCCCAAGTTTGGTCGTAATAATGTTTGTTATTATCTATGTTTTCAACTATCTGTAGGGAGCCGTGAGATGTATCTTTTGTCGATACAAGGGGCATACTATTTGTCCTTCTTTTCTTGTTCTTTCATGTCCAAAGCCATTGTTGTATACCTGGAAGGATGCAGTGAAATAATTTCTTACTATCTGTTTTTGACTGTAATGTAGAAAGAGAGAGACAGTTTGCCACGCTCCCCATTCACGTCTTCTTAGTACATCCAGGTAGCTTCTCTTGATTGGGGCATTTATCTACCTGTCAGGGGAAACAGTACAATTTTGCTTTATTTTTCCTGAGCCTATCACTAAACGGTGGCAACCTTAAGAGAAATTAGAACATTTAAATGTCAAATAAAATCATGAATACTTTTGCAGTTGTGGGCGGATTACTTGTATCAGATAGAGAGGAATACGATGTAAAATACTAATATCAAATGACATAAGGAGAAACAGTTAAAGTTCTATTCTGCAATCAAGAATGATACTTTTGCAACCCAAGACAGTCACAGAGTGTTCTCTCTCCCATTGTTAAATCAAAAATGGTAGAATAGTGACTCCAGGAGGCACAATCCTCCACTAAAACACCCTACCTCTGTGAAATTTATTTTAGCAGAGATCCTGCCTTAAAAATGGGTATGACCTTCCTGTCATCTCTGGTATTGTCTGGAAAAATTAATAGATTTGTGGTATGTCTGAGGATGATGAAAAATGGTCCTTTAACCCTCTGGAAAAATTAATAGATTTGTGGTATGTCTGAGGATGGTGAAAAATGGTCCTTTAACCCTCCAAAGTCATCCACAGTAAGGTTAATACACAGGCAGAGCAGTGGGCCCTTGGTATCCACTGGGGTTTTGTTCCATCACCAGTGATGGACACCAAGATCTGTGGATGTTGATTTCCTATTGTATACTGTTATGCAGTCAAATGGTCTCTCTTAACTAAAATGTCAAAATCAAGGTTTGGTTTTTGGATTAATTTATTATTTAATTTTTTCAAGACCTGGATGGTTGAATCCATGGACACAATTTTATTAATATGGCTTAGAGATAGCCTTCAGCAGATAGCAGTTTAAAATAATGTTTCTGGAATGAAAGGATGCAGTTTTTCTTCAGAGGCTGGTACAGGCAATCACTGAGTTACAAACATTTAACTTACAAACGGAAGTGAGACATCAGGAAGTGAGAAAATCTACCTTTTGGAAGAGAAATTCACACCTGAAAGAGTAGGTAAAGGTTTCCCCTGACATTAAATCTAGTCATGTCTGACTCTGGGGTGTGGTGGTCATCTCCATTTCTAAGCCGAAGAGCCAGTGTTGTCCGTAGACACCTCCAAGGTCATGTGGCCAGCATGACTGAATGGAGTGTTGTTACCTTTCCGCCGGAGCAGTACCTATTGATCTACTCACATTTTCATGTTTTTGAACTGCTAGGTTGGCAGAAACCTGGGCTATCATTGGGAGCTTACCCTCCGCTCCTCAGATTTGAACCACCAACCTTTTGGTCAGCCGGCTCAGCGGTTTAACCTGCTGCACCACCAGGGGCCCCTGAAAGAGTAATCATGGGGAAAGGGTGTCTTCACTGAAACTTTATCACCAGTCCTTATTTCCACAACAAGCCAAATTTTTCAAAATCCAAGTATCACAGGGACAGAAAGTGAGTTGAAATCTTCTGAATAGGGACACAGACAGCACAACATACACTGCAACAAAACAAACAATAGATAAATACATAGATAGTTTGGCTGGAGTTACACTAAAATCAATAGATTCAATCAATACACCATCTCTTGGATACTGCTGCTATACTCTACTTATTTGGTTTTGGTTCACTTTGTATGGTTAGCTTGCTGACTTTATTGACCATTTAATATTTTAATAACCATTTTAAATATTGTTGTGAGTGTTTATATAATTTATGTTTAATGTTTTTATACAAAATGCAAGGTAATTGGTAGGTTATGTTTTCATTTAATTTTTTGTTTTTGCTGTAGCTGTTGTGTTCTTTTTATATTTGATTTGTTTGTGTTTGTATTTTTTATTTATGAATGTGTTTGGCATTTAATGTTTGCTGTTTTTTGTTGGAATCCACCCTGAGTCCCCTTAGGGAGAGAGGGTGGAATATAAATAAAGATGATGATGATTATCATTACTAAAATGTATTTGTTCTGACTTACAAACAAAATGCAATTTAGGAACAAACCTACAGAACCTATTTTGTTTGTAATTTGACAGATGCCTGTATAGTGGTTAGCAAAACAGAGGAAATGGATTTATATATTAAATGTTTGTGTCATGGCCAAATATCATTAGATATTTCTGGACAGATTATGAAAAAAAACAATTTAAAGAATTAAAATTTTGAAACAACAAAATAATTTAATTCTAAAAATACTAAATATGTATTAAAATTAGATTATTTAAATGTGGAATAATTTGTAACAGTGAAATTTGGGAGTATGGATTAGAGTGTCATGGATAGTAATTCCGCTGTGTTAAGAAATAAATGAGAGAACAGGTCTGTGTTGTTTTGTGTCTTCAGTATTTCTTTTCTCTCACGTGAACCTGTGAAGAAACTCTTAGTCCTAATGCACGTTTGACAATGCAGTTTCCTCCCCGCCTTCTGTGGGAGCCAGTCTGTTCTTTAATGGCCTCTTCCTGCTCTTCCAGGATAATTGAGCTGAATGGCCACAAACCTCCTCTCACCTACAAGCGATTCCAGACCATCATTAGTCGCATGGACTTGCCCAAGAAGCCAGTTGCCTCCATAACACATCAGCAAATGGAGATGTGCAAGTCGGAGATCCAAGACAATCATGATGAAACGTATGGTGTTCCCTCCCTGGAAGAGTTGGGTACGTTGTTGAACTGTGTGCAAGCGGCACTTGTTTTCTATGGGCTTGGGACGCTTCCAAGATTCGCTGTGGGATTCTTCTCGCTTGACCTGACCTGGCCTTCAGATTATCAGTGCATCTTGGGCTTGAGAAAATGAGCTGATTTAGCTGTCTCTACCATATCCTGTGCCAGATCATTACAATTATTTTAGACAGATAAGGATCATTACAGTTGAGATAGTAAGTTACCCTTTAAAAAAAAACCTCAGCACCCTGAAATTGCTTTTTTATGAGCTAACAAAGCAGAATATGATTAGGTACAGTTCAAAGTAATTTTTATCCTGCCCTTCAAGGCAAGTCTCAGAATAGCTTCACAAAAAGAATGTAAAAACACAATGATGCCATTGAGCCAAATAGAAAAATGTATTGAATGTAGCCATATATAAAGAAAATACCATCAGACTGAAATATTCAGATGAGAAATTCTGGGGAGGTTTTAGAAAATATTCCCCTGGTGTCCTAATGATGCCAAACTATCCCTGTAGGGAGAACCTTCCATATTTGAATCATCACTGATAAGGAGACCCTCTCCCTCATAAAGGTTAAGGTTTCCCCTTGACTAAGTCTAGTTGAGTCCAACTCTGGGGGGTGATGCTCACATCCATTTCTAAGCCGAAGAGCCTCTTAGGTCATGTGGACTTCATGGAGTACTGGAGCGGTACCTATTGATCTACACACATTTGCATCTTTTCGAACTGCTAGGTTGGCAGAAGCCGGGGCTAACAGCGGCAGCTCACCCTGCTCCCCGGATTTGAACCGCTAAACTTTCAGTCAGCAAGTTCAGCAGCTCAGTGGGTTAACCCACTGCGCCACTGGGGGCTCCCTCATAACAGGTCATTAATGATTTAGAACAGCAAACATAATCCTTTCCAACAAAGAAAGGCCTTTCTTTGAAGATTTTAGTATATAGACAGGCAGATATTGTTCCAAAGCCGTGGTTGTTCAGAGTGAAAATCAGATCTTTGGTTTGAGTTCAAGAGTGAACCAGATCCCATCAAAAATTGATATTTCTCTGGCAAAGTGCTTGCAGTGTTGAGTCCCAGTTTACAGTTTTAACTTGTATATTTTGAATAAATTGTAGTTTCCAAACCACACGTGGTTAATGAAACTCAGAGTCCTTTTTAAAACCAAATCAAATGCCGCAGTTGTAAAAAGCAGCAGGTATATCTTAGTTCACAAAGTAGATGTGTTGCCTTTTCTTCTTTAACATAACGTTTGGGAATAACACAGAAAGTATAGGGATATGTTCCTATGCCAGCAAAAAGAACAGCAGTCCCACATGTTTCAGCATGCATTTGGTTTCATAACTAACAATCTGCACATGTAAAATGAAGCAACCCTAGTCAGACACTTCTTGCATAAGTAAACAAAAATATTTAGTTTTTAGCCACATTTTTATTGAATTTTCAAAAGGATACAACTTAAACCCCCAATTAAAAACAAAAAATACAGGCACTAAAATAAAACAACCAAAATAACACTAAAACAATCCCCGAGTCCTCCCTCCCCACAGCTCCACTCACCCTGTATCTCCTCCCCTTTAAAAATAAAATAAAACAATCCATAAAAGACATTTAAAACACAATCAACCCCCCCCCCCCCCCCCCCCCCCCCCCCCAGGTCCAAGGCATCTGTCAGACTATTATAATGTACTTCTGCTCTACTAGTTTCTTCAACTTCTAGTAAATGTACACAAATATGCTTAATGGGTTGCAGCTTCAAAGTCTGGCTTCTTCCTGCCTGGTGAAATCCTTTGTTGGGAGGTGTTAGCTGGCCCTGGTTGTTTGTTGTCTGGAATTACCCTGTTTTCTGAATGTTGTTCTTAATTTGTTGTCCTCATTTTAGAGGTTTTTTTTAAAAAAGTACTGAAACAATCCCCAAGTCCTCCCCCCCACAGCCCCCTCCCCCAGAAATGCTGGACCACTCTAACAACTACCATGTTAGACTACACAGAGAAGGCATTGAAATCCACACGCATGTGGGCAATTTCAACAAAACGGAGGAAACTATGAAAATGAAGAAAATCTGGCTACCAGTATTGAAAAACTTGAAAATCAGGACAGAAAATAAAGAACAACACTCAGAAATCAGGGGAAATCCAAGCACGAAAGAATCAGGACCAGTTAACACCTCCCAACAAAGGTTTCCCCCAGGCAGAAAGCAGCTAATCAAGGTAGTCAATTGCAACATTCACACTCAAGCAGACAAGAGTTCTTTCTCCCACATTCCACAGATATATAAACTCCACTTAGCTAGTTTCCAAAATACCTCACAACCCCTGAGAATGCCTGCCATAGATGTGGGTGAAACTTCAGGAGATAATGTTTCTGAAACATGGTCACAAAGCCTGGAAAACTCACAGCAACCCAGTGATTCTGGCCATGAAAGCCTTCGACAACACAAATACATTTAAGATTAATACCTACCCACAAAAAATATTAATTCAACAATTTGAACATTTTGAGTAAAATTCAGTTCATTTTTGTATCCCATCTCAATATTTTCCACAATTTTATTTTCAATCCTTTATCATCACATCTGAAAAGAGAATGTAATAAGGTTTAAAACAACACAGAAAAAGTTACTAAAATAGTTTTGGAGTTTAGTAGTTTAGATTGAAAAGTAAATAACAGGAGAATACGACAGAAGTGCATGGAACTTCATTCAATGAAGTTGAAAGATGAGAGAGTCAGGAACTGCTTCGGATAACACATCATTAACTAGAGAATTGGTTTCCACAAGACGTGGGGATGGCCACCAATTTAGCTCTAATCTGCTTGTAAGGGTTATCTTGATCATCATAGCAGTCATGTCTGTTGTTTTCTGTGGCAATACTTCACAGTACTAGTCATGGAGAAACAATAACAATGATGATTATCCTCATATCCTGCTTGTGTGCTTTCAATAGACATGTGGCTGATCACCTGGGAGCAACATCCTAAACTAGTTGAGCTTTGACCTGATTCAGTTGGGCTTTCCCTTTAAGTTTTTTTTGTATCTTTGGAGGCTAAAACTGCCAGATTCTTTTTTTTTGTCAGGAGTGACTTGAGAAACTGCAAGTCGCTTCTGGTGTGAAAGGATTGGCCGTCTGCAAGGACATTGCCCAGAGGACGCCAGATGTTTTGATGTTTTATTATCCTTGTGGGATAGTAAAACATCAAAACTCCTTCTCTCATGTCCCTGCGTGGGGAGCCGGACTGACAGAGGGAGCTCATCTGTGCTCACTGGATTCGAACCTCCAACCTGTCAGTCTTCAGTCCTGCCTGCACAAGGGTTTAATCCATTGCGCCACTGGGGGCTCCTAACCATTTGGAGAAAGTAGCACCCACTCAAAGTGGAGTGAAAGTCAATGACAGTCAGCCCTTCACATTTGCAGGTCCATTTTTTTGGATTTGATAATTAGCAGTTTTGATTAAAAGGTTTTGTCTAGGAAACTCTAGGACCTCCCGTGTGATTCTGTGATCATCTTTTGGTGGATACTGACCATATTCTATGGTACCTAGAGATTCCTAGGTCGATGTTATTTTTGAAATACACTTTTGGAACAGCTTTTCCACATTCACAGGGGTGCCATGCCCCTAACACCAGCAAATGCGGAGGGCAGACTCTACTGTAAAAGTTTGCCACATTCTCTTGATCAGGATTCAGGCTCTTAATTCCATTCTAGTCCCCTTAAAGCAATGCTACTAAAAGTAGCACTGAACCAGTGCCAGTCAACGTGCCTTTGACCACTGCCTCCTGGCACGTTTCTAGGAAAGAGAGGAACAGTGGTAGCCAATGGGCACAAATAAGTGCACCTATCCTGCCAGAAAGGATAATCTAGATCCTAATATATAACTGTATAAGACCACCTGAATATAAGCCAAGGCAGCTAATTTTACCACAAAAAACTGGGAAAATGTATTGATTTGAGTACAAGTCGAGGGTGGGAAACACAGCAGCTATTGGTAAATTTCAAAATAAAAATAGATACCAATAAAATAACATTAATTGAGGCATCTATAGATTAAATGTTTTTGAATATTTACATAAAACTGTAATTTAAGATAAGACTGTCCAACTCTGATTAAACCATTATTTTAACCCCCAATGTAAATGTGCTTACGTATCCTTCCAATAATAATAGAGTAAAACAATAAATGTAATAAAAATAATAGAGTAAAATAATGGAAATATAATAATAATAATAATAATAATAATAATAATAACAGAGTGAAATAATAAATGTAATGATAATAATAGAGTAAAATAGTTGAAATGTAATAATAATAGAGTGAAGTAATAAATGTCATAATAATAATAACAATAATAATAATAGAGTAAAATAATAAATAACCTTGACTTGAGTATAAGCCAAAGGGGGCTTTTTCCACCCCAAAAAAGGCTTATACTAAAGTATATATGGTATGTGTCTTACTTCATTTATGCTAGACAGAGGTAAGGTGGTAAATCACTTAACATACTAGATAAGACTGATGGGGCTGTCATAGGCTTGAAGGAAGGGGGCCACCCCTCTTTGATTAACTCTCTGGAATTATATGGCTGTTTTCCTATTGATTTCTCCCATCCCGTCCCATTTAGAAACAGTGTTTTAAGTTACATCATTCTTGCACAAGAATGAGAAGCTTTCTGGGCATATTCTGCCAGGAGGCCTGTCTGAGTCTTGGTTTAGTTCTGCCCCCTGCTGGTTCCATATAGGAATTTCAATCCAGAGCATGAATAGCAGAGAATGCAACAGAAAAGTCAGTTGAAACTGAGAAGGGAGATTTGTTGCCAGAGTTGTAGATTAATCTTCCCCCTCTTTCCCTTAGGTTTCCCTACTGAGAATCTTACCCCTGCTGTTTGGCAAGGAGGAGAGACGGAAGCACTCACTCGCCTGGATAAACATCTGGAAAGAAAGGTAACCTTGTATAATTTATGCAGCAAAACCGCCCTTGGGGACAAAGCAGTCTTTGCAGTGTCACATTCTTTAAAGTCTGCTACCTACTGAACTGCCCTACATTCGTTGGATATAAATATTTATTAGTGAACTTAAAATATCCTGAGAAACAGCATAGTCCAGTGCTAGTCTTCATTCTTCTTTCATCTTTCATGCTATTACCTGACTCAGCAGCTTTGGGGTTTTTTTTTACACATCTGTGCGGCCTTTGCCAATCTCATGCCCTGCAGGTGTAATGAACTGTTATAATGCCTGTTACAGCCTATGGGAATTATAGATCAAAACCCACTGCACCACGCTTGCTCTTATTGAAATGTGTGTGTATTCACAGTCCCACCATAGATGTGAATACCATGCTTCCCGACTCCCACAGTCCCAACATTTGGGTGTGAAGAAATACAAAAATTCTGGAATCAAATTCTAAACCAGGTTGAATTACATACTAAAATAAAACTTGATATAAATATGCAAATTTTGTTAAGGACCAAGACCAAGAATTAATGACAATGATGCTTAGAGCAGCATATGCAGTAATAGCTTGAGAGTAGAAATGGACACTTGAAAAATGGTATGAATATTAGGCCTGGCCGATCAAGAAAAAATTTGTTTCTAAAATCGTTTTGTAATTGAGGTGTTTTTTTGTTTCGATATTTAAATTAATTACAAAATTTTCAAAAATAAGTTTTGTTATTTATAAAATTTTGTAAATATTTACGAATCAATTCGTTAAGATGGCGGACCCCCGCGCATGCGCCAAACCACTTCCGAAGCTTCGTTAATGGAGGGGCCGATTGTAAGGGTGAGCGCTCCGGCTCCTGCGCCCTCCTCCTCCTCCTCCTCCTCCTCCTCCCAGCTGTGTTGCTGGAAGTGACAGGAGGAGGAGGAGGAGGGCGCAGGAGCCGGAGGCCGGTTGTAAGGGTGAGCGCGCGCGGGGCGGCCAATCGGCTCCGCCTCCTGCGCCCTCCCCCTCCTCCTCCTCCTCCCAGCTGTGTTGCAGGAAGTGTCAGGAGGAGGAGGAGGAGGAGGAGGGCGCAGGAGCGCGCGCGCCATCCGATCGGCTCGGCTCCTGCGCCCTCCTCCTCCTCCTCCTCCTCCTGACACTTCCTGAAACACAGCTGGGAGGAGGAGGAGGAGGGGGAGGGCGCAGGAGCCGAGCCGATCGGATGGCGTCCGCGCTCCTGCGCCCTCCTCCTCCTCGCGCCGCCCCTTCGCCCCGCCCGCCCCATTTACTGCTGGGGTGCTTGGGAGCGMCGGATTGGCTCCCAGGGCACCAGCACTGCAGCACAGCAGCCTCCATCCCATKAACGMGCGGAGCKTCMGCBCGTAAAAAAAAATGGGGCTGCTGCTTYGATATTTTYAAACCCTTCCGGGTTTGAAAATATGTTTTGATATCGCTTCGGATATGCAAAAATAACGATTTTAATACGAAATAACGAATTAACGAAGCAAAACGGACAGGCCTAATGAATATGTGTGGGACCAAATACAACTGGATATTATGGACATTTTAAGAAGCAAAAAAAAAACCATGGTCAGACAAACAGAAGAAAATCAAAGAAACGTGGACTCCATTTAACAGCTGGATAAAGGCTGTTAAACCAGATGATGAAAGTTGGAAGAAAGAATTGGATAGAATGGAAAGGAGGCTCACATAATGGGAAACAAAAGGATTAAGTTGTTAACAGGGAAGGGGAAAGGGTGTGTGTGAGGCAGGAGAAAGGAATGAAAAAGGGATTAAAAGTATGGACATTATGGTTATGTATAATTTTTTAAAAAAAGATTTAAAATGTAAAAAAAACATTAAATATGTATTAAAGATAACAAATATTAATTTTTATTCAACATTGAATACTAACTGGATAAAGCTATACTTCTGACATTGATGGATACTAATTTATGCTATCTTGGATCTCATACTGGCAGAAAGGCAGGATATAAATAAAATTAATGTATACTTCATCAAGGTATAATAACAACTACTACAAGTTACATACTGAGAGCCTGTATGGTATAGTGGTCTGAGATGAGGGTTTGAATCTCCACTAAATAAAATCAATTAGATCAGTGAGTTTTCAGGGATGTATGACCATGTTCCAGAAGCATTCTCTGCTGCCATTTCACCCACATCTATGGCAGGCATCCTCACAACCTCTGAGGATACCTACCATAAATGTGGGCAAAACATCAGGAGAGAATTCTTCTGAAACATGCCATGCAGCCCAGAAAACTTACAGCAACCCACCGATTCCGGCCATGAAAGCCTTTGACAACACATTAGATCAGTGTTTCTCAAACTGTGCTCCTCCAGTTGTTTTGGACTTCAGCTCCCAGAAATCCCAGGCAAAGTAACAGGTGCTAGGAATTACTGGAGCTGAAGTCCAAAATATCTGAAGGAGCACAGTTTGAGAACCACTGCATTAGATTACCTCATGCAAATTTCACTTCTCAGGTATAGAGAAAAGCCATTGCATGACTTCCATGAAAAACTTGGGATAGGGTTTCCATAAATCAGAGTCAACTTGAAAGCTCATAACAACTTTCTATATTGATTGTGTGATATTGATTGTGTGTTCCTGCATTGCAGGAAGTTGGACTAAAGCCCCTTGTGAGCTCTTCCAACTCTTGCGATTTTATGGTTATATATGTATATATGTGTTTACATGTATACTAATCCATCATAAAGGTAGATAAATGTGCTACAGTGGGGGCAAGGGAAATTAACACCAACCTTTCATATACTGTACTTGGGATTCTAGCAGTCTAATAGACAAAAACCAATCAAACCTTTTCATCTCATGTATCATGCCTTGTTTGATAACACATCATTGAGTTGCATTAGAAGTAGACACTGTTATTTCATTCAATTTAACTAACAGTGTCCATTGTTATTTAAACTGAATGAAGCATGGGCTCTGAGTTTCCAAAATTATGAAAGGAGACCTAACCTTTTGGATAGGCGTAATATCTCCCTATTCTTTTCATCCCTAAGTATTTTAAACTATCCTCAACTAATGAATTTGGTGACAGCAGCAAATAAAATTTGTTTTCCACTACTTTTTTTGATGTTTCCTATTTTTTTGTATTCTCCCCTTCCACTTCTACCTTCAAGGCTTGGGTTGCAAACTATGAACGACCACGAATGAACGCCAATTCCTTGCTGGCCAGTCCAACAGGGCTCAGTCCTTACCTTCGGTTTGGTTGCTTGTCCTGTCGTCTGTTCTACTATCGGCTCTGGGAATTATACAAAAAAGTAAGAACTGGAAAAAGCTTCTGTCTAGAGTTTAAATACCATCACATCTCTAACATATGATATTGTGGTAGAAATTTGGAAATCTGGGGTTCTTTAGAATTTTAGCTTATTGGAAATGGAGCTTTAGCTTATAGTGCATGTCGCTCAGTCACTGCCACTACATGCAGGAGTGGCTATTATTTTTGGTAAAGAACCACTTAAGAATAACCATATTTTTCTCGGCAAGACTTGCTATCTAGGCCAGTGAGTAAATGTCTTCTAAAGAGATGATCAGGTTTGGTTGATTTCCTAAGGAGACAGTTGTGATTGTAGCCTCAACTCAAGATGCAGAGTTTGTCCACCGATATGCAAAAGAGACTTAAAACTGTCCTATTTTCTTTGTAAGCAACTTAGTCTATTTTTGTCCTCTGTAGGTGAAGCGAAATAGCACTCCACCACTCTCTCTCTACGGCCAGTTGCTCTGGAGAGAATTTTTTTATACGGCTGCCACAAACAACCCCAAATTTGATCGCATGGAAGGGAACCCAATTTGCATTCAGATCCCGTGGGACAGGAATCCTGAAGCCTTGGCAAAGTGGGCAGAGGGCAAGACGGGATTCCCCTGGATCGATGCAATCATGACACAGCTGAGGCAGGAAGGCTGGATTCATCATCTGGCCCGGCATGCTGTCGCCTGCTTTCTGACCAGAGGAGACCTGTGGATCAGCTGGGAGTCTGGAGTGAGGGTGAGTTATGGCAGGCAGAGACTATGTTGTATGCTGAAAACAGGCTTTAGGGTGAACATGGCGTTGAGAAGGGAGCTACAGTGGCGCAATGGGTTAAATCCTTGTGCCGGTTTAACTGCTGACCTGAAGGTCGGCAGTTCGAATAGATGAGACAGGGTGAGCTCCCATCTGTCAGCCCCAGCTTCCCATGCGGGGACATGAGAGAAACGTCCCACAAGATGGTAACATATCCGGATGTTCCCCTGGGCAACATCTCTGCAGATGGTCAATTACCTCTCACCAGAAGCGACTTGCAGTTTCTCAAGTCGCTTCTAACACAATAAAAAAATGGCAGTGAGTGAGTAAGTTCAGATGTATGTTAGTGAAGTGGGGTTCTGACCTCAGTCGTTATGCCACAAAGTATATGTTGTTGGTTGGAAAACATATCTATGTCATTTTCCATATTGATAGACTGCACAGTTTTTGAAGAAAGCCAGGGAAGAAAGTGTAAAACCAGCATTATAGTTGAACATTAAAAGAGCAAAAATAATATCATAGAAGGTTTACATAACTTTAAAGTAGACAGTGAAGACATTGAAGTAGTAAAGGCTTTCTCTGTCATAAATCAGAGAAACTGGAAGATCACTAGCAGAAACCAGGAGAAGATTAGGACTTGGAAGAGCAGTTATGATAGATAGAAAAAAAAATCTTCCAGTGCTATTGAATACCAAGGTCAGGATTGTCCTTGCCTTTTTGTTTCCAATTTCTGTTTATGGTTGTGAAAGATGAACATTGACATAGCTGAGAGAAAGTGAATTAATTGATTTGAAATGTAATGCTGGATAAGTATTCTACAGATACCATGGGTTGCCAAAAGACAAATGGATGGGTATGGGAGCAAATCAAGCTTGATCGCTCCCTAGAAGAAAAATAGCGAAACTCATATGAGAGGAGCTGGGCATGCCTGGATTAAAGACAATCATAGCTCAGGGTATGCTGTGAACAGCAGAGCTGCAAAGAAAAGCAATCTAAGAAACACAGAGCTTGGCTTTGTGAGAGACAGGTAGGGTTTTTGATAGGGGTTTGATTTGAGAGAGATAAGAAACAGATGGCACAGTCACAGGGGTAACAGAACTGCATGTGGGTTTAGGAAGGAGGAACTGGTTGAGAGTTCAAGGGTTAATATATTAATTACATGTATTTTAATAAACGTCCACTTTCTTGTTTGTTCTTACCACTGTCTCTGTTAATATTAAATGTGATAGAGGACTGGTCACACTAACCACCACAAACCCAGGTACAGGTCCACATATAATTAGTCAGGATAGGGTGACTGGCAAGACTCCAAGGTTTGAAACAGTGGAGCCAGCCTGGAAAGGGGATGTCTCACAGTTGTACTTTGCACATACAATTAAAACACATGGCTCATTAGAAACTACAATAAGGCTTTGTCAGGTGAAAAGCAGTAAGAAAAAAAAAGAAGAAGATCGTATTACAGGTGGGCAGACTCAAGGAAGCTGTGGCATGTTTTGGACATCTGAACAGGGTTGTTGATAGCAGGGAGACCTGGAGGTATATCATTCCACAAGTACACCTTACATTGAAGTCTACTTGAAGGCAATGAATAACAAGTCATTTTCCAAGGCTTGGGTCATGATTCTTGACCCATAACATTTTGGGTTGTTTTAAGCATTTTACCTTGTTCTTCAACTGAAATGAAAAGGTGGTTTACATAAAATTAATATGAGACAAATAAGACAGGCCTATGATCTCATGTTATATACTTGACCTATTCATCTGAGTTTGCATGAACAGCTTAGTATTGCCTCTGGCCTCGTCCACAAAGGTCTACCTTGAAGGAATTTTCTTATTATGACCCCTTTCTTTTATTTGCTACAGGTTTTTGATGAGCTATTGCTGGATGCAGATTTCAGTGTGAATTCGGGCAGCTGGATGTGGCTTTCGTGCAGTGCTTTCTTCCAACAGTTCTTTCACTGCTATTGCCCCGTTGGCTTTGGGCGGAGGACAGATCCCAGTGGTGACTATGTCCGGTGAGCACATTGACCAGTTCTGTCACTGAACGTTGCCAGTTTTGTCAACCCAAGCCAATCTGTTCCGTCAGGCTACAGGGAAGGAAGTGGTGGGAAGAGCATTGTTCCATCTTCCCTGTTTATTAGAGACTAGGTGCCTTTGGCTACTCTTTACCTGAAGAGGTTTTAGTCCTGTTGCCAATAATAAGGGCTAATCTTTAACATTATTGGTGCCTGAGGGTTTTTCTCCTCTCTTACCATCACATCTTTTCCTCCCCCTTTTGTGTTGTTATTTTTAAATTATAAGCCTGTTCCAACCGAAGAACAGATTACAATGCTTTTTATAATAAGAATGCAGGCCTATTTCTGCACATAATTGGGGCAGCTGACAGGATACAAACATTGTTTTTAGTGTTAAAAATGTTTCTCAACTTGCATTGCAGACGATATCTACCCAAGCTGAAAGGTTTTCCCTCACGTTATATCTATGAGCCTTGGAATGCTCCTGAATCAGTGCAGAAGGCAGCAAAATGTGTCATCGGGGTAGATTATCCCAAACCGATGGTGAACCATGCAGAGACCAGCCGATTGAATATTGAGCGCATGAAACAGATTTACCAGCAGCTATCACGCTACAGAGGCCTTTGTAAGTTCTAGCAGTGCCATCATACTTTGGTTTTGTATTATAGAGAGTAATGTATTCCAGTGCCACTCAGTTTGTACATGGCAGAAATTGCTACTTGCCCACAGAAACTTCTTGCAGGCCCATGAGCTGCTTGGCTGTAAGATTTTGTCTTCCGAATTTTAACTGGACACAATACCTGTTGGTGTGCATTGACTGTGTTAATTAGGGTATGGTCATAACTTTAATCCTTTATTGCTTATGACTATAGATCACACTGTAACAGACATCCTTTTATTCAATTACAGTGTTGTATGTCAGACTTACCGTGTTTTAATTGGTTCCTATTCACATTTGTGATCGTGGTATGATAGCCACAATTGCAAAAGCCTCTGGAGCCCATCTTAGAATCCAACTGCACCAAGAGAGTTCTTCATTCCTAGCAATCAGAGGCTCTGAAATGTGATGCACCCAGGCCCTCCTGCCAATAGGTTACAGTGTGCTGACGAGTTTCAGCAGGACTCCAAGGGGTCTCGGCTTTTCACAGCATCGTGCCTCACTAGCAGGAGAAGGCTGGGTACATCATCCTCCAGCTCCTTACTTACCAACACCACAAATCTCCCTCTCTTAGTACAGGTGGATGAGTTTTGAGGTGGGTTTGGAGGAACCAGGTTGAGAAATGGATTATAACCACTGCATCAGGGCTGTGATTCTGATGCAAAATCACAGCCTGTAGTTTTATGAGGAAATTAAATATATGAAAGACTGATAAACCTTTCTAGAACTGAAAGTAAAAAAAAAAGTCCAAATAGTGTTTTGTTCTCATTCTTCACTGGATCAGTGTTCTACAAATTTGATATACTTCTCACATTATTGTCTTCTGACATTACCCCCACATTATAACTGCCCTCTGGCTGTATTTCCATGGGATTGAACTATTGTAGTTTGGGTGTCTTGCAGTTAAAAAAAAATTGGATGATACGCTGAAATGATTTCCGATATCTAAAATTAGTAAGTTCCATTGAGTTAACATTACTGCTTCAAATAACATAATACTAGCGAAGCATGTTTCTACAAATTTGTTTTAGGTATCTGGCAAATTCATATATCATAGTTCAGATGGCACCAAGTGTTACTAATGTAGAAATGATAGCATGTGACTTTTGGGGTGCAATGAAAAGTCATTTGTTTTTGTTATCAGGTGCCTTAGGGTTAGTGCCAGCCTCTGGTGGCGCAATGGGTTAAACCTTTGTGCCAGGAGGATTGCTAACCGAGAGGTCAGCTCCCTCTGTCAGCTCCAGCTCCTCATACGGGGGCATGAGAGAAGCCTCCCACAAGGATGGTAAAACATCAAACATCTGGGCATCCCTTGGGCAACTTTTTTGCAGACGTCCAGTTCTCTCACACCAAAAGAGACTTGCAGTTTCTCAAGTCGCTCCTGACACACACAAAAAAGCACCAACATGTAGTAGTCCTATCATAGAGTTATTCTGGCACTATTGCTGTAGAGAAGATTTGTCTTCCTCTGAAGCTGAAAGAGTGTGACTTTCCCAAAGTCACCCAGTGTATTTCCATGACTGAGTAAGGATTTGAACCCTTGTCTCCTAAAGCCCTAGTCCAGCACTCAAAGCACTACACCATGCTGGCTCTCGGTGAAAAGCCAGACTAGTTCTTCTAATATATATGCTTACCTTATATGTTCTTTAGGTTTATTGGCGTCTGTCCCTTCCTGTATGGAAGACCTCAGCAACCCAGTTGCAGATCCTTCTTCGAGCCCCGGAAACTGCACCGGTACAGGTAAGCTGGTGTTTTCTATAAATTATGTGATCCTTCCAATTGGAAAACCAAATACGTAAGATTAATTTCTGCAAGAAAAGGAGGTGGAAGAGTCCAGTGTTAGCTCTTCTCCACTAGAATTGCTTCAGACTTTTTCTAGAGGTTTTGTTATCTCATGTGAGTCAGTGAATATTTCCCGTGCTCTGCTGTACACAGTGCTCCTCCAGATGGTATAAGAGGATGTTTAAACAGAGAAGCTGAAATTAACTGACACATACTTATAATGCTTGCCAAGAGCTCAAGGGGGAAATATCAGTGCTAAAATCTGAAATAAAATAATAACAGTACAATTCCTCTCTTTTTTTCTGCCATTTCCCATTCAACTGATCCCTGTATCTTTTATACTTGAATCCCTAGATGACAGTGTGCAAGGCTCTAGAGCAGTGGTTCTTAACCTGTGGGTCCCCAGGTGTTTTGGCCTACAACTCCCAGAAATCCCAGCCGGTTTACCAGTTGTTAGGATTTCTGGGAGTTGAAGGCCAAAACATTTGGGGACCCATAGGTTGAGAACCACTGCTCTAGAGCAAGATTGGGGAACATCAAGCCCAAAGGTCTTGCACAGCCCTGGAAACTTGCTGCAAGTTCTATAAAGCTTCCTTTCTAAAGGAAAAAAAACTGCCAGGATTTCCCAGAATTTATTACCTAGACCCTCCACACACAACTCTCCCAGTGTGCAAAAAAGGTGGAAACGTGCATATATGCAAGCACCCAAACAAATTCATTTTCTCAAAATGGTGAGATGAAGTTCAGTTGCCATTTTGAGAGGCACTTTAAATTAAAATGGAACTACAGGGTTAGTCAAAATGAATAGGCCAATAAGAAAATTAATTTTAGACGAATGTATGTTTACTGTAACCAAACCACAGCTACGTAGCGACAGATAAACTATCAAAGTTTTTTTTGAGCAACACACATGTACGTTAATGCCGCTAGGCGTCGCTAGGGGTCGCTGTTTTCAAAATGGCGGAATCAAGCAAAGAGAAGGCGTTTTGTGTGATGACATTTGCTAAAACAATGTCAGTAATTACGGTCCAGCGAGAATTTCAAGGGTTAGGGTTAGGGTTAGGGTTAGGGATAGGGTTAGGGATAGGGTTAGGGTTAGGGATAGGGTTAGGGTTAGGGTTAGGGTTAGGGATAGGGATAGGGATAGGGTTAGGGTTAGGGTTAGGGTTAGGGTTAGGGTTAGGACCTCAACGAACACCTTCCCAGACGTTGCTGCATTCGATGCCATTACGTCGGATGTGCTGCAACGGATGTGGAATGAACTGGACTATCGCTTGGACATCTGCCGTGTCACACGGGGCGCCCATATCGAACATTTCTGAAGGTGAGACAAAACTTTGATAGTTTATCTGTCGCTACGTAGCTGTAGTTTGGTTACAATAAACATACATTCGTCTAAAATTAATTTTCGTATTGGCCTATTCATTTTGACTAACCCTGTATTTTGGCATGCTGAGGGGTGCATCCTGCATGGAATTTGGGGAATGGGGAGAGAATTGTCCCCTCACTGACATTCAGTTGCTCACCTCTGTTCTTGAGGAATGTTATAGTTACAGTATTTTTAAACCCCACCCCACCCTTTTTTTTTGGCAGCATCCAGGCAGGCTCACTGTGGCCAGACGTCTCCAAAACGGAAACATGATGTACAGGAACACAATGAAGAATTGTACAAACGAGCAAAGGTGACAGTTTCACAATTTTCAGTGAATCCACAGCAGGAGCTTGTGCATGTAAGTACCTAGCATAGCCCTGGAATTAGAATCCACATGAATAACCGGCAAAGTTGTTCAAATTTCTCTTCTGAGAGTACCATTTCATCATCATTACACATGTAGGATGAGAGCAAAAATCCTGTTTGAGTAGGCTGTAACAGGCCTATATGAAGTTGACACTCTGACCCTTTAGTTTGTGATCTACTGGCAGTTAGTTTTATGTACAGGTTTTCTGCGTTTTAAAATTGAGCAATTTTATTTTATGTTATGTGTGTTGGTAGTGGTGGTTGTTATAATTTTATGAGTTATTGTTTTATACTTTGGTACTGTGTTAAGTTATGTGCTGCACCTTGGAGTGTCTTTATAAGCTGCCCCGAGTCCCTTTGGGGAGATGGTGACAGGAAACAAATGATGATGATGATGATGATGATGATGATGATGATGATGATGATGATTTGAAACACAACAAGATGAGTCCACAGCAAAAAGATCATTTTGCTAGCTGTTGTATTGGATCACACATCAGACACTTCCCAAGTGTCTAGGACTGTGTGATGTTTTGGCGAATAATGCGTGCAGATCCCAGTAGGGTGGTCTTTTGCAGCTGGCAGATGGTAATCTTGTCAGCGCTGATTGTGTTTAAGTGCAGACCAAGGTCTTTAGGCACTGCACCCAGTATGCCGATGACCACTGGTACCACCTTTACTGGTTTGTGCCAGAATCTTTGCAGTTCGATCTTTAAATCCTGATATCATGTCAGATTTTCCTGTTGTTTCTCTTCAATCCTGCTGTCACCTAGGACTGCAACATCGACGATCCACACTCTGTTTTTTAACACGATCGTGAGGTCAGGAGTATTGTTCTCCAAAACTCTGTCAGTCTGAATTCGGAAGCCCCCGAGGGGTTTGACGTGTTCATTTTCTGTAATTTTTTCAGGCTTGTGATCCCTACATCGCAGGTGGTATTTGTGGCACAGATTCCAATGAATCATCTGAGCAACGGTGTTAAGCCTCTGCTTGTAGTCTGTGCGATCTTCTTGTAGCAGCTGAGGATATGATCTATTGCAGTGGTTCTCAACCTGTGGGTCCCCAGATGTTTTGGCCTTCAATCCCCAGAAATCCCAGCAACTGGTAAACTGGCTAGGATTTCTGGGAGTTGTAGGCCAAAACACCTGGGGACCCACAGGTTGAGAATCACTGATCTATTGTTTCATCTGCTTCCTTGTAGAGTCTATATTTGGGATCCGTTGTCGACTTTTCAATTCTGGCTCTGATGGCAGTTTTATTATTATTGTTGTTGTTATTAGTATTATTAGTAGTAGTAGTAGTAGTAGTATCCTGGGGCAGCTCTCATGATGCCAAAAAACCAGAAAGAGTATTGTCTCTCCTGGGCCAGCCTTAAAATCTTTTGTTCTGGCCTACTGTTCCAAATAGTAACACCAGAGAGCTAACCTTTATGGAATAATGTATTGTTTCTTTGGGAGAAATTAAAATTGGTGAAGAAGAGTGTTTGTAAGGTTCTGGTTATGCATCTACAACCACTAAACATGAGATTGCCATTAATCCTACCCGTTGCCATCAAATGTGCTTTAAAGTGCTGCCAGGACAGTGGCAATTGGAATGGAAGGAGGAACTTTCATCTGCCTAATAATAATAATAATAATAATAATAATAATAATATCCTGCTTTTTCTCTCTTAAAAGAATTTCTAAGCGGCCAGGCAGGATGCCATGCCTAAGTATGATGGAGCAATGCCAGTGTTTTCTTCTCTCTCTCTCAGGCTAGGGCAGTGGTAGTTGGGATGGAATTAAGTCCACCTTTCATTTGCTTCTGGATATATTTGTTTGTCTGTTTGTTTCATTTATATACCACTTTTCTCAACCCCTAGTGGGACTCGAAGTGGTACACAACAAAGCAAATGGCCAAATTCAATGCCTCACAATATAAAATGCATTAACATAACTAAAATAACATATAACAGTAGATTCAAACCAATGAACTATAAAACATTGGACGTAAACAAACATCCCCAGAGATAGCTTTATACAGGTGTCTTTTATCTATACTCAGATTTTATTGTGTGTGTGTGTGTACATGTACGTACATACAATTATCTACAAAGAACAGAATATTGTATGTATTTTTAGATAATACAGTTATCTAGAAGTATAGGCATGATGGAGATATGCCATTGCCTACATCTTCTTTTCTTCTTCCAAGACCAGTGTAATGCCAAAATAGATTGTCTTGGCTACTGTTTCATATTTATTGTATGTGGGTTGCAATTTGGTCTAATAAATACAAAATATAAACAGAAGCCCTAAATAATGTTGTGTATATGTGCCTTATTTCTTCTATTTGAAAGTTCTAATTTGTCAAGTTAGAACGTGGCTTCCTAGTAACAGAGGCCAACTCATTTCCCTCCTCAGTCTATTCTTTCATCTTAGAATTATCCTGTTGAAAATTGCTCTTCATGGTTCCTTTAGCAAAGAGAAAATATTACATTCTATCCCACCAGCTTAATTTTCATACTCTCTTCGCCTAGAAGAATTTTATGCATTTATCACTATCCTACCTCCAAGGAATTCAAAGCAGTGCAGGTGGGCTTAATTCCATTTTTGAGCTCCACTATATCCATGTGAAGTGGAGTTTCATAGAACTTCATTGACTTGCATAAAGCCGTTCTTTGAGATGAGTGGAAGTTTGAATCCAGATGTCCTTCATCTAAATCAAACATTCTATCCACCTGACTCCTTGACTTTTCTTCCACTTAGAAGTCATTGATCATTCTGTTATTCCCTGTATATTCTATCCAGATTTTGATTGCTGTGTACTTTCCTGGCTTCATTTTACTTTTTCAATATTCTTTTTGTGTATTTATTGCTAGTAATTGTCCCCCACTCCTACTTTTTCCTACTTTAGAGTTCCTAAATTAACTGCCTTGGATTGTATCTTTTCCTTCCTTAATCATAATGTTCATGATCCCTTCTGTAAATGACCTGTATTTCTATACTTTCCCCGCGTGGCTAGTATAATATCTTAAAGAGGCTATCTGGGCAGAGGGTCAAAGAATCCCACCGCTGTCCTTCCTGACAATAAGGAATCCACACCACTTTGGTTCTAATAGTGCTTGAGGGGATGTCACTTTGTGTAAAACCTTCGCTGCCACCAAAACTAAAAAAATCACGAACTCTCTAGCTATTTTTTTTTAAAATGTTAAAAGGCTGTTTAAATTATTAAAAGGCTTTTTACTCCACCCAAAATCTGTGTATTAACAAGAGCTTTCTTAGAGGGAACACAGGAGAGGTTGACTCAATAAGGAAAGGGATTCAGAAACCAAAAATAGCACTTGACTCAGGCTTCAAGTTTAAAAATAACAAGAAAGAGTTTATTGATTACAAGTTATAGATTTACAAGTGAATGCAGGTTCAGAGGCTTGATGGTTACTAATAAAAGTGGTCTTGTTTCTTATAAGCGTAATGGTTACTTGAGAGAATGTTCTTCTCTTGGTTACAATTCCTTAAACATAAAACCCAGCTATTTTCTTCCTTAAAATAGCTGTAACTCAGTCTGCCACAGCCTACTGTGCTGTGCAAACTACAGGCAAGCTGCCTATTCTAAACAGAGACTCCTACAAATCCAAATCCTTCTCTAACCTCTCTCAAAACTGAACTGCTCTCTACTCTACTCAGAACTGATCTAAACTAAACTGTCAAAATTATCTGTTCTCTTTCCCTCCATCTGGCTAACTCCGCCCCTCTTTCCTAAACCAATCCTGGCTGTTGCTGGGCTGGCCCAGGCCTCGGCCACTCCCCCTCTCTGAACTGGAGCTTTTCCCTAACCTAAGATGGCTCCAGCAGCTCTCTGCCAGGCCTTGTAAGCTGAAACTACCTAGCCTGTCTCTTGCTCGGCCCTGCCACCCTGGCTGGCAAGGTAAGGGATCTTTACAGCTAGCCTGTAAATCACACATGTGATTATTCCTGCGCGCGCGCAGGCAGCAACGGACATTCACGAGCTGACTCCAACTGACCGTTAAACTTCTTCTGATCCATATTCATCATGTCTTGTTCTGATTTGATAACATGCCGTTTACCTAATTTAATACTGAAGTGTCTGTCATCTTCCTTTATCCCCTCTTTATTTCAGCTGATATATTCAGCTGACTTTGTTACCAGCTTCGTTATCAATTGCCAAATTCAGTTTTTTCCCCAACCCACTGCAGAGACATTTCTCTCTTGCCTTGTTCTATCTGTTTTCGGACATTGATTTTCATTTGGATTTTTTCCCCTGAGTTTGACCATTCGTTGACATTTTTCTTTATGGCTAGATTTAGTTTGTAAATCTTTTTTTAAAAAAAAATGTGCACAATTAGGAGCTTCAATTCCAGTATCTTCTCTCCTTCTTCCTTCCTTCCTTCTGGTATCCATTCTGCCAGTATACTCCTTTTGGGTAGATTACGGAGCTCATCTCCTGCCACTTACTACCTTCTTCCTTGCACATGTTCTATATGACATTTTGAAACACCTTTCCGTCTACTCCTTCAATCTCTAGTCTGTGCCTACCCTTCTTTCCTAGCTGTCATGCCCAATTTAGATAGCAAGTTGGCAACTGACATTGTTCTTTTAAAGCTACTGCATCAGTCACTTCACGAATACCAATAATAGTTGTTGTTGGCATTATACTATTAATTGTCAACTGGAAGTTGGTAGGTACAAGTGAATCATGGCCCTGAGCGAAAGTGGACCATGTTGGCAAAACCATCGTTTTTCTGTTATAAATTTAGAGTGTCTTTGATTTTAAAAGAACATCATAAGAAACATATGCTAATTGCTGTGTCGCATGCTGGATTGGGAGTTCAGAGTGGATCTGATGATTACTGCAGTCTTTCTGAATAAGAAGTACCATTTCTCTGGAAGTCAGTTCGTGCTTCTGGGATTTTATCTCATTTTCTGGATCCCCCAGTGGTGCAATGGGTTAAACCCTTGTGTTGGCATGATTGCTGACCGATAGGTCAGCGGTTCAAATCCAGGGAGAGCGAATTAAGCTCCTGTGTGTCAGCTCCAGCTCCCCATGCAGGGACATGAGAGAAGCCTCCCACAGAAATGGTAAAACATCAAACATCCGGGCAATGTCCTTGCAGATGGCCAATTCTCTCATACCAGAAGTGACTTGCAGTTTCTAAAGTCACTCCTGACACAGAAAAAAATCCGTCATTTTGTATGGGAATGAAAACATTAATGTATGAATTCTTTATTTTCTTTACAGCATGAAATGGGAAATTAACCAGGAAAAAACGATGTTTTGGAGTGGCTGCTGCAGTGTCTGAGAAGAATTTCTTCCAGAAGTATTAGAACATTGACTAACAACATTACCCATTAAGTGTGTGGATGTGTAACACAGTTAGCTGCAATACGACAACTCTTGAACTCCTGCTCAGGACACTTTATCAATAAGGAAAAGAAATGTTGGAGATAAAATTTCTGGTTCTCCTGAGAGACGCTTGGAATCAGCTCACAAAAGACTTGGGATAATGCTTTGAATTCCAGTTACCTCAGATGGGCTCCGTTTGTTGCACCGTTTAGAGTACCTCTTTCTTAGTGTTCTCTCGTCTTTGTTGAGGTAGCAGAGATGTGATGAACCATGCAAAATGCTTCGTGGTGCTTGCTCACCATAGTTCCAAGAGCTGCACCTATTATACACTCCGGAACACAGTCTCCTGGCATTTGAGCAAAATGCAAGAGTATAATGCATCAGAGCGATATGTCAATAAATATGTGTGGTTGGCCTAAGGATAACATGTGTCGATGTATATAAAGGGACAGTACAGTACAGCAATGGCCAATTTGATGCAGGGCAGTGACACCTGCCCTGTATCCAATGTGGATGGTGGGAATGGCCGGGGACAGCCTGTTAGATCTAAAAGATCAATACAGCTCTTCCACTGCATAGTTTCTGTTGCAAAGATCAAGAATGTTCCAGATGGAAATACTTTCTGGACATTATTTTCCTATAGGAAGGGCTACGTGTTGCAGTTCTGCAGGAGAACAAAATCTAATCCTATATTTTTTAAATTGCTTCCTTAAAAAAAACCAACTTTCATTTTTTCCTCTAAAAGCAGGATACTAGCCTTTATTGAGGCAAATACATGCTTAATAGGAAATCTAAATGAGTGTTGAATTTTGTTTAATCTGTAGGCAGCGTCAATGCCCTAAATAGCTTTTTGTCTCTACCCAGATTTGTGAAATCTGAATAAGTTATGCAATGTGAGTGATCACATGTTTGTGCTTCATTTGTATAGTTTATACCAGGCACAAGCAAACTTTGGCCCTACAGGTGTTCTGGACTTCAACTCTCACAATTTTGAAGTCCAAAACACCTGGAGGGCCGAAGTTTGCCCATGCCTGGTTTATACAGTTCACAAAGCTACAATTTCTTGGGAAAATGGATTTAAAAGTTATAAACCACAACACACTCCTTCCTATGTCTTATAGGTCTTAGAAGCAATGCTTTGTTTTGGAAAACTTCCGAGTTCATTATAGGCTGGACCTTCCTCTTTTTATTGTAAGACATTTGGTCATGTGGATTGAGCAGGTCCTTTGCAGTGATCATTATAGAGTAATTCATTGCTGGGACTCAAGGTGCATCTACACTGTAGAATTGATGCAGTTTGACACCACATTAACTATCATGGCTCAATGTTATAGGGATCCTGGAAGTTGTAGTTTGGTGAGGCACCCATACTCTTAACAGGGAAAGCTAAAGACTGTAAAACTACAACTCCAAAAAGTCCATAGCATTGAGCCATAGCTCTTAAAGTGGTGTCAAACTCTATTCATTCTGTTGTCGAAGGCTTTCATGGCTGGAATCACTGGGTTGCTGTGAGTTTTCTGGGGATGCCTACCATAGATGTGGGCGAAACATCAGGAGAGAATGCTTCTGGAATACGGAAAACTCACAGCAACCCAGTACATTAATTCTGCACCCCAAGTGAGACTGAAAGACCTCTCCTTTGTGGATATTCCAATTGTTCCTTTTCTGATATGCTTGGTCCCTCCTTGCCCAGGTGTTCACTGCTGTGGATTTGTACTGTTGGTCCTTTTTTTGTTTTTGTTTGGGTCCTGTACTATACACTGCATGCCTTGCCATCACCTTATTTGAATTCAAACCAGATAGTATCACAGCTCCTTGAGGTTATTGATCACATTCCCTTCATTTGTTTTCACAGTATCCTTGGCAGGGTTACAGGCCCCCCTCCCAGCTTCAGAGCAATGGGGAATAACATGCTTGTGGCCTTGAGATTTGTTTCATGTAGCTGGCACCATGCAGCGAAATGAGCTGTCCTGTATCAGGGGCTTCGATCCTTTTAGCAGTTAGATTCCATTATAGATTGAGTTAATGTCAGCAGCCAAGACAGCTATGAAACATCTTAAGAGCCTGTTTCTTTATGGTGCTGGGTCTGTTAAAATTGAAGACTAGACTTTGGACCAGCTGTACACTGGAGCTACCTGAAGACATAAAGAGCTCTGGAAGCAGCAGCCTTCTGTTGGAGAGGCACGTGGAAAACAAATTCACCCAAGAGACTTTTCCACTTAAATCCTTGGACATATTTCTCAACTGGGACTTGTTCTTTGGGCCTCATTTTGATGTCCTTGATACCAAGACATTATTTCTGGCTTCTCCCCAACAGCGAGCCAAGTATAACCCATGTTATTTGGTGTCCTGTCTCCTTGTAAAATATTCAAGATGACTCTGTTCCCTACCACAGAGTAGGAGAGAAATGCACTTTCTACACTACAGATTCAGACTGACTTCTCTACCTTGAAATGTTTTCCTGCTTTTACAGTTGTGTTGTAACTATTAACTTGTTTTTATAAATGTCTTTATCCCTCTGTCTAATTGTCTTTGTTAATTTTAATGGATAAATATAGCAAGTTTGGCGGTAGAAAAACTGTTCTTCATCTGAAAATGTTTTAGGTTTGGGAATCAAATACACAGCTCAGGAATCATTTTCAGTGGACCTTCCTTCGCATTTTTGCAACCTGGACAACTCAAAAATGTGCCAGTTGCATTCAAAATTGCAAGCTTTAGTTCTCACAGTGGTATGTTCAGGTACAGAAACTAGAAAAAAAACTGGGCTGGTGATAAGTCATAAGGACTTATGAAAGGACTCTAGTTGTATGCATGGGATAAAAACACAGCCAAAGAAAAGCTTCACTAACAGTTGACAACTACAACTCCATTTGTATGGTGCTTTGATGAGTATGAACAGTATGTCCCTTCCCTGAGGAGCTTATCTAAAATATGGTGTAATTGTTTTTGTCCAATTTCAAGAAATGTGTGGTTCTTTCAAGGGTGTATCTACACCAGTGGTTCCCAAACTTTGGTCCTCCAGGTGTTTTGGACTTCAGCTCCCACAGTTCCTAATAGCAGGTAAACTAGCTGGGATTTCTAGGAGTTGAAGTCCAAAACACCCGGAGGCCCAAAGATTGGGAACTACACCATTGAATTGATGCAGTTTTGTACCATTTTAACTGCCATAGCTCAGTGCTATGGAATCCAGGGATTTGTAGTTTGGTGAGGCATCAGAACTCTTTGGAAGAGTAAGCTAAAGACCATGCTTACTTTGGAAGAGTAAGCTAAAGACGGCATTGAGCCATGACAGTTAAACTGGTCACAAACTGCATTAATTCTACAGTATCGATGTAGCCCAAATATAGTTCTTGTTTCAAAGACATGGATTTTTCAAGGTAAAAGTCACCACCTTTGCCTTCTTCAGGGTCCACTATGATCCTGCCGCAATTGTATCTGATAGTTCCTCCACCAGCCACTGACACAAATACAGTTATTACTATGCCAGACCACATTTAGTCTGGTTCCTCAGCAAAAGCTGGTCTGCTAGTAGCATAGCCTGCAGCCTCATCGAAGTACACAATCCCACCACCATAGAAAGATGTTGCAAGGAGGAATTTGGAAATCTTTTAAAGACAGTCCAGAATCGAGCATAGTCTCGTTATGTTCCCATTTGTATTCAGGCTCTGTAATTCCTGCAATTTATTCCTGCGATACTATCAGTCCTCCCCATTTGCTGGTTTGGTATTCATTAAAATGTTCTCTCCAAACAGTGCCGAATTGTGCTCAGGTATACTTAAGCACAGGGCTCTATTGGCCGGGAAGGGGGCATCTTCCTGCCAAAATTATTTTTTTATGATGGATTTGGCTTATGTGGTGCAATTCTAAATTTGAAGGTGTTCTGTTTCAGGGCAATTCCTGACATAAGGATAGAGTTGATAGTATATGGGAGTGTGCCACAAGTAAGTGACCTCATAACTATCATAGGTCCTCATTTATCCTAAATCCAGCACTGCCTCCAGAAATCTTTAGGTCTTCCAGTGTTACTGCTACCAAAGATTTAGCATAGAGTCACACTGGAGGACCTAGAAAGAACATTTCTAGTAATTTCATAAATCCTACAGTGTAATTCTATGCAACATAGATTATAAAATCTTTACAAATATCCTTGCTAATACATTGACAGACATAATCACAAAATTAATCAGGGAAGACCAATACGGTTTTATTTAAAACAGAAGACTAGCAGATCCAATCAGAAATATACTTAATGTAATTAACCAAGCTATGAGAGAAAGAGAGAAACTCCTGCTATTAAAACTGGATGTTTACAAAGCATTTGACACAGTTAACCAGCAATGTCTCTATCAAGTCTGCAAAGACTAATCTGGAGAGAGAATTCTTTGAAGTAATTAAGGAATTTTATAAAGCTAATCAGCTTGAAAACATCTGGATAAGAATCAAGGGAACTGGGACTCAAAAAGATCTTGTTGTAGGAGTCTACTACAGACCTCCAAGCCAGGAGGAAGAACTTGATGAAGTCTTCTGCCAACAGTTGACCAAACAGGCACAGAGAAGAGATGTAGTAGTCATGGGCGATTTCAACTATCCCGATATTTGCTGGAAAACAAACTCGGCCAAGAGTACAAGGTCCAACAAATTCCTCGCTTGCCTTGTAGACAATTTCATGGTCCAGAAGGTAGAAGAGGCAACAAGGGGATTGGCTACTCTTGATCTCATCCTAACAAATGCGGAGGACCTGATCGATGCGGTCGAAGTGGTAGGATCCTTAGGGGCAAGTGACCATGTGCTCCTGCAATTTGAGGTACAAAGGAAGGCCGAAACTAAGACAAGTCAAACCCGCATTTTGGACTTTAGGAGAGCTGATTTCCAAAAAATGAAGGAAACGCTGAGCAGCATTCCGTGGACACAGATACTAAAAGACAAGGGAGTTACGGATGGATGGGAGTTTCTCAAGAGTGAAATACTCAAGGTGCAGTTGCAACCGTGCCAACAAAAAGAAAAAATAGGACAAGTGCAAAGAAGCCAGAATGGATGTCCAAAGAACTTCTAACTGTGCTGAGACACAAAAGAGACATGCACAAGAACTGGAAAAGGGAGAAATCACCAAAGAAGAATTCAAACAAATAGCCAACACCTGTAGGGAAAAGGTCCGCAAGGCTAAAGCACAAAACGAGCCCAGGCTTGCCAGGGACATTAAAAACAATAAAAAGGGCTTCTTTTCTTATGTCAGTAGAAAAAGGAAAAACAAGGAGGCGACAGGGCCTCTTCGAGGAGAAGATGGGGCAATGCTGACGGGCTAGGGAAAAGGCAGAACTACTTAATGCCTTCTTTGCCTCGGTCTTCTCACAAAAAGAAAGTCATCTTCAACCTCAGCAAGACGGAGTGGATGAGGGATTTGAGGACATCCAACTCCAAATTGGGAAACAAGTCGTACAGGAATACCTGGCCGCTCTAAATGAGTTCAAGTCCCCAGGGCCAGATCAACTACACCCAAGAGTATTGAAGGAACTAGCAGAAGTCATTTCGGAACCATTGGCAATCATCTTTGAGAGTTCTTGGAGAACGGGAGAAGTTCCAGCAGATTGGAGGAGGGCCAATGTGGTCCCAATCTTCAAGAAGGGAAAAAAGGATGACCCAAACAATTACCGTCCCGTCAGCCTCACGTCGATACCAGGCAAGATTCTGGAAAAGATTGTTAAGGAAGTGGTCTGCAAACACTTAGAAACAAATGCGGTCATTGCTAATAGTCAACATGGATTTATCAAAAACAAGTCATGCCAGACTAATCTGATCTCTTTTTTCGATAGAGTTACAAGCTGGGTAGATGCGGGGAATGCCGTGAATGTAGCGTACCTGGATTTCAGTAAGGCCTTCGACAAGGTCCCCCATGACCTTCTGGCAAGGAAACTAGTCCAATGTGGGCTAGGCAAAACTACGGTGAGGTGGATCTGGAATTGGTTAAATGGACGAACCCAGAGGGTGCTCACCAATGCTTCCTCTTCATCCTGGAAAGAAGTGACGAGTGGAGTGCCGCAGGGTTCCGTCCTGGGCCCGGTCCTGTTCAACATCTTTATTAATGACTTAGATGAAGGGTTAGAAGGCAGGATCATCAAGTTTGCAGATGACACCAAACTGGGAGGGATAGCCAATACTCCAGAGGACAGGAGCAGGATTCAAAACGATCTTGACAGATTAGAGAGATGGGCCAAAACTAACAAAATGAAATTCAACAGTGACAAATGCAAGATACTCCACTTTGGCAGGAAAAATGAAATGCAAAGATACAGAATGGGGGATGCCTGGCTCGAGAGCAGTACGTGTGAAAAAGATCTTGGAGTCCTCGTGGACAACAAGTTAAACATGAGCCAACAATGTGATGTGGCGGCAAAAAAAGCCAATGGGATTTTGGCCTGCATCAATAGGAGCATAGTGTCTAGATCTAAGGAAGTAATGCTACCCCTCTATTCTGCTTTGGTTAGACCACATCTGGAATATTGTGTCCAATTCTGGGCACCACAATTCAAGAGAGATATTGACAAGCTGGAATGTGTCCAGAGGAGAGAGACTAAAATGATAAAAGGTCTGGAGAACAAGCCCTATGAGGAGCGGCTTAAGGAGCTGGGCATGTTTAGCCTGAAGAAGAGAAGGTTGAGAGGAGATATGATAGCCATGTATAAATATGTGAGAGGAAGCCACAGGGAGGAGGGAGCAAGCTTGTTTTCTGCTTCCTTGGAGACTAGGACAATGGCTTCAAACTACAAGAGAGGAGATTCCATCTGAACATGAGGAAGAACTTCCTGACTGTGAGAGCCGTTCAGCAGTGGAACTCTCTGCCCTGGAGTGTGGTGGAGGCTCCTTCTTTGGAAGCTTTTAAACAGAGGCTGGATGGCCATCTGTCAGGGGTGATTTGAATGCAATATTCCTGCTTCTTGGCAGGGGGTTGGACTGGATGGCCCATGAGGTCTCTTCCAACTCTTTGATTCTATGATTCTAGGTGCAATTACTTTTCAATGAGACCAGACCAAGAACAATTAAAATTAAAAGTGGGACTAAACAAGGTTGCCCCCTCTCCCCCATCCTTTTCATATTGGCAATAGAACCTTTTTCATTAGAAATAATAACTTAAAAAAAAGATTTTTATTAAAGTATTTTCAAAATAACATAAAAAGGGGAAGATAAAGGGGCAAGCAGGTAAGGGTTAAGCCAAGGATGTGTGGGTGGGTAGGGAAAGGGCAGGGGTATGGTATATAACAACAAAATTAAAGGATTTAAAATTGGGAAGGAATTAATTAAAATTAATTTATTTGCGAATGATGCCATGGTTCTATTGGTGTCACCGGAGGACTATTAAAAGAAATTGTTACTATCATGAATAAATTTGAAATCTTATCAGGGTTGGCCATTAACATTCAAAAATCCAAAATTCTACATAAAAATCTGACTTTGAAAGAGTTAAAAAAAATACAGGCCATCTCGAGGATGAAATTAGGCAAGAAGAAGTTAAAATATTTAGCGAT